TCAGATTGTTCATTGTTAGTATATATAAAAATGCAACTGATTTTTGTGTGTTGACTTTGTATCCTGCTATTTGCTGAATTTATTAGTTCTAATACTTTTTTTGAATATTTAGGGTTTTCTATGTTTTTATACTATCTGCAAAAATATGTAATTTTACTTTACTCCTTTCCAGTTTGGGTGTTTTTTCTTCTTCTGCCTAATTGCTTTGGCTAGAATTTCCAATGCTATATTGAATAGAAGTAATGAAAATAGGCATCCTTGCCTTGTTCCTGATCTTAGAGGAAAAGCTTTCAGTCTTTCATCATTGATTATGATGTTTGCTATGATTTTATTATGTATGCTATGATTTTATTACATATGGCTTTTATTATGTTGAGGTTAGTTTCTTTCTATTCTTGGTTTGTTGAATGTTTTAATCATGAAAAGGCATTGAATTTTGTTACATGCTTTTTCTGCGTTAAGTGAGATGGAGATTTTTTTTTTTCCCCTTTATTCTGTGAATGTGGTGTATTTCATTGATTGCTTTTTGTTTGTTGTACCTCCCTTACGTTCCAGGAAGAAATCCTACTTAGTCATGACATATAATCCTTTGAAATACCTCTTATTTCATAGGATTAGTGAGCACAGTTTGAGAAATACTAGTGTCAATTATTAAAGTCCTTTCTAGTTATACAATATAGCAATAGTTATCTCAACTGCCAGTTGAGATAGCTACTAGTAAGCAAAGAGTTAAGAAATAATTGTCTTTTTAAGGGGAAAGGATAATTCGCATCTTTGAAAAATATTTGTATTATTTCCAATTCTGCCAGTCAAGGCAATGTACTCATATATATGGAGTAAGTAAGCTATGTTGTAATAGTTCTAGTTATACCCTTTATATTTTATGTCCAAAAACAAATCCATTGAGAGATACAGGATCATTTTTAGTCCTAAAATTTAGGGGTTTTTTTTAAGTTGATTAAAAATCTTTTGAAAGTAGCCTTTAGAGTATTTTATATAGCAAGCAATACTATATGTGTTTCCTGTAGAAGAAACAAAATTTTTTTTAAAGAATTAAATGTTCAGAGTCATAGAAAGATTATTTGAGGAAGAGCATAGTTTTCTTCTGATGTTTAGCTTTTTATTGTTGTTGTTTGATAATCAGCTTATTGATAAGCAGTTTTCTATTTAAACAAGGAACCAAAAACATTTGTATAAATTGTTTTTTAAAGTGTTGTGTGTATACATATTTGTTAACTAATGTGTGTATCAAATACTTTTGGAAAGACAGTTTACCAAGCTCAGTACAATATCATTTCACTGAACAACTATAGGATGTATCATTCACATTGTATTCTAAGTAAATAGCATTCCATAGAAGATGCAATGGTGGACAGCCTTCTCTGGTCCCCTCCCACTGTGGGAGCTTTTCTGTCCTCTCAATAAATCCTGCTTTCTAAAAATAAAAATAAAAAAGATGCAATGGAGTCCTTGAAGTTAGGCAGTGTTATTACCCTAGATTGATTTATGTAGGCTTTCTCCATTGTGGGATTATTATTTTTTAAATATTATTTGCATTTCAGATGCCAAGGATTGCTTAATCCTAAAGTGGGCTTTTCTCTTTCAAAGCATTTTTCTCTTAGTTCACACATTGGCTTTCTCAAGTGGCTGAGAAAGAAAATGTAATCATCACAGCTGATACATAGAAAATTGTACCTGGGGTGTGTAATTCTTAGGATATGTATCGATTTGTGCAGATGAGAACTCACACGCAGCAGATCCTTTCCCAGCTATATATGTGGCTAGTCCTGTTAGCATATTGGCAACTTGAATTTAACTGAACTAAGTTTTGGTTAATTTTTCGTTCTATGACTTGGTTTTTGGCTAATCAGAAGCCATTTGAGATTGTAAATTATCTTCTTGCAACATTGCAAAGTGTTTTTGGCTTCATGGACTCTTGCCTGGATTTTCCTTCACATTCAAGACACCACTAGCCAGTTAATATTAAAATTTTAGACAGGAAATATTTGCTTAGAATAATATTCATTCTCAGACATTAATTTCATGATTAGGCAATACAATTGCATTTTCTCTCAATTCTTTATTGAGTAGATTTTTATAAACATGTTTATAAGAATGCATATGTTGTTTTAATGTGGGTCTTAAGTTTCAAAATGTAATAAAGCTCAAATTTTAAAATATGCTTCTAATATTAATATTTTACTAGCTTGTTGGTCATATTGCATCAATTGTTAGTCATCACAGATAAATACTGTACGAAGTTAATGGTATTCTTTCTGTGTTAAGATTTAGAAATTTAATTTCTATTATGAATATCTTAATAGACAAACCCAGAAATGAATAGATACATATTTCCCAGAATAGAATGTAATATAACCCTAGAGAAAAAGATTTACCCAATTCAATTTTTATAAATACAGATTTTAATTTAGCATTTTTATTTGGCTATATGAATTTTCTTAGACATGGCAGTATAGGAATAAAATAAATACTTTTTGGGGGTAATTTTGGTGACAGTTCTAATGCAGTTCTAATAATTCTCATCAATTAAAATTTCAAATGTTTATGAAGAATTTTATCAAGTTTGTTTACTCTTGTATATATTGTATATTTGAGGCCTCGTCTATGATTATGGCAGTCCCCTCCACATGTATCTATATTAGCAAGTATTTGCATTTTTTTCTTCTACAGAATTTCTTGGAGTATAAACCATTGACTTTTCCAAGTAGTTAGTGTTTTCTTTACGTTCTTAACTGAAGTTGCTTTTAGTTTTAATTGAATTTTTTTGTGGTAACAGTCTACCCTTTGAATTTTTTTTTTTTGAGTTGGAGTCTCACTCTGTCGCCCAGGCTGGAGTGCAGTGGCATTGACACGCTGGGCTCAGGCAATCCTTCCGCCTCAGCCTTCCAAGTAGCCAGAACTGTAGGTGTGCGCTACCATGCCTGGCTAATTTTTTGATTTATTGTAGAAATGAAGTCTTTCCAAGCTGCCCGGGCTGGTCTCGAATCCATGGGCTCAGACAATTCTCTCACCTTGGCCTCCCAAAGTGCTGGGATTGCAGACTTGTTTTAATTGAATTTTAATTGAATTTACTTTTAAGTTTGGAGTATTGCCAAACTCAGGAAAAACATATTTGGAAAGGGAGAATTATGTATTACAACCTCAGTTTGTCCTATTTATTTATTATAAGTTCCCAGTTCCTTTATCTCCTTTTTTTCCTCACTAATATAATTAGAGCTAGTAAACTGTAGTAGATCTGACAAAACTTTTTTGATTTAGCTGGTCAATAACTTTACTGGCTCCAAGACCTCCTGTCTAAAATTTATAACCCTATGTCCACTTCTCTGACCCATTTCATTAGGTTTTCCCACTGATTTTACTGTTCCTGCCTGGGAACATGGGACAGCATACCTAGATCATCATCATTGTTTGTCTTACAACCTTGTTTGACCATATATTTTTCTTCTAGGATAGGGTTTTTGACTTCAGTTCCCTGTGTCTTGTTATCTCAATCGTAGTTGGAGAAATCTCTTTGTTATCCTTTGGATCCACTAACCATTTTTTCCTGACCCTGGTTCTTCAAGAATTGAGTGTCTGCCCCTTCCTTATCTCAAATCATTGTCTGATTGAAGCCACAGAATCCAAGTCTAGTACCTAGATCCTCCTCCCTCTAATATGCATTATGTTTTGGGGTCTTTTTTTGGCCCTTAGGTTTCCTATATTTACATAATAGTAATTATTTCTGAAGACATAGGGTAAACCACAGAGCTTTCTTCACTGATAGATGACTGTCTGTTTTTCTGTGAGATAATTTAACTGAGTATTGGCTATAGTGTTAATGTCATTGGATAATTATGACTACAGTGTCCAGTGGATATACACGGTATGACTGATAAAGCTTAGTGGTCAGTTGTCCTCTCCTTAGCTATATTCTCCTTGTTTTTCAAAAGTTTATCTTGTTGAAGAGACTTAACATTGCTTATCATAGACTTGATATAAAATCTTTCAGTAGATATATAGTCCATTTAGAGTTGATTAGAAAAATAGTATTTTAGATGAAAACCTTTACAGAATTATCACTCTTCAATGAGGTTTTCTGTAGTTAGCTGTTAAAATCAGCAGAATTTTCAAAAATAGTAACATTTAAATTTTATTTTAGACCAGCAGTAGAAACTGTAATGGAAATGTCCAGCCTCTGACCCATTGACATTTATTTCTGGTTTCTTACCTGTTTATGAATGACCTAGGTAAAGAAATATACACAGAATTCCCCCTTCCCCACCAAGCCTATGCTTTTTACAAGTCATATTGTGAAACAGTTCTCTTGTGTTCTGAGCCAGTTAAAATTAGACAATGATATTTTCAAAAAGTTGTAAGTTGTACAGAAAGCCAAACTGCAGGAAAAACAGAGATTGGAATCAGATATAAAGAAGAAATCAAAGAAAATAGAACTGAATTACATTTTGTAGCAGTAAAACTTGTAATAAGACTTTTTTGTTGTTATGTGACTATATTTCCATTTTGGGCTGATGTGACTAGTTTCTAAAACTTTGTATTAGAAAGATTTATAAAGATTATGATACATTAGATAGATAATTGGCTTTTTAAAATGTTCTTAGGGGAGTTTTATGGTTATTTAAACAGTTTTATTGCTGTGGCTCTGCCTTTAGATATTGGAAATTTTTTATTTACAGTCTAGATATTAAGAGTGAATCACAGCCTTAAGTCATTTTAAGTCACTGTTTCTAATATTGTGGGCTTTTGAAGGTACTGTTTGTAATTTGATCTGGGTTTCTTAATTCTTTTTTAAAGTATTCAGGTTGGTTATATGTCAAGTGTTTATTTTGTTTTGTTTTTAAGCAGTGCCATAAAGCTTCTAAAAAAGACTAGTCTGGATGAAATAATCTGTCTTCCACAACTCATTTATCTTATGTGTCTTTTTCTTTGGAGTTGTCCTGCGTAAGTTGTCACTGATGCTGACTGTTAATTTCCTTCCTCAGCGTGGATTTGTGGCATCATCTCCATCACTGTTATTAGCCTCCTCTCCTTGCTTGGCGTGATATTGGTTCCCATCATTAACCAAGGATGCTTCAAGTTCCTCCTCACATTCCTCGTGGCACTGGCTGTAGGAACGATGAGTGGAGATGCCCTTCTGCATCTACTGCCCCATGTAAGAATGCTTTCTAATCTTTCAAAAATTATAAAATGAAAATATTTATGCAGAAAGGGTTTTTTCATTAGCAAGCTGTAACAGAGTCATCTAGTATTTGTGTTGTTTTATTTGCTTATAGGATGAAGTATATGTTTTTTTCTAGTTTCACAGTTTTAATAGCAATATTTTTGAAATAATTGAATCGTTAGGTTTTAAATAACAGCAAAGACTGGTAATGTCAGATTTACCTTCACTAGTCTTTAAAAACACTCGTTGGATTAAAAGTTGCTATATTAGCGGTTCTCAGAATGAGTACTTAAAAATCAGTGAATGGTCCATCTTTTTCCCTGTGTGTTATATCAAGTAATCCTTTGGGAGACGTGTGTGGCCGTTGTGATGGTTGTGCGATAGTTGGTGTGCCACTGGCCTCTCCGTGTGCACAGGAGCAGGCAGCTGTACTTGGTAACCACCTGTGGCTCTCGTCTCTTTATACAGGGGGCATCTGTCTCTTCACTGGCACACCACTTGTCTTATTCCCTCTGGAGACATGCTTAATGATATGATTACAGCCCACACTCCTAGTGCCATGCTCATCAACCTTTTAAAGGTTGCTGTCTGTCTATACCTTATGGATGGGTGGGTAGATAGTTATCATCAGCTAAAAGAAATTCATTCTTGCTGTTTTTACTTCAAATTACAAAACCAATGGGGATTTTTATTTTCCAGATATAAAGTTGTAATAGTGAATATTTCTCTTCTGGAGTATTGGAGACAGGATTTTATTTCTGTGTCGTGAATACTTCTCTCCTGCACTCTTGATTGAGAACTCCCTATCTAGTATATAGAACAATGTATGCCATTGCCTTTTTAAAGAAAATAAGAAATGGGTTAATGAATCTTATGACTGTGAATATGAGTTTTTTGTTTTGCCGTTTCTACCAGCCATCAGGGACAGCAGCAGTCTGTTTTAGAACTGGACCTAGTGAGAGCAGTTGAAGCGAGAACAATATTTAAGTGCTGCTTACCTTGTCCTTCTATTAAAAATAGTTAACTGAACATAGCTATTACCTTTTGGAGTGAACTGACCTCCTTTGGGAGGTTTAGAAATCTCTTCTGTCAATCACTGATTAATAGGGTAAGAGCGCAAATGAATGTTACAAGGAAGAAAGATACTGGAGTCTAGTTATCTAAATTAAGTTCTGTAAGATTATTGTGATACTTGTACATTTCATAGTGTGGAAGCATAACTCTTTCTGTACATATGTTTATTTTTGCTAAAGCTTAAAATGTAGAAGATTATGTACCTATTTGCATATGCAATCTTGCTAATATTCCACAATGTATGCTGAGATAGAGATCTCGTCATCTCTTTGAAATAATTTATAAGAGAAGAATCTTACAAAAATATAGTAGCTTAAGAAAGAACTAGATGGCAGGGAGTCACCTGTACTGGTGACCTGCTGGTGAATTAGCTTATTTTATTATTGCTGAATATTTGACATTTATGTGAGTTACGTTCACTTCCATTTACAAAGACTCATCGCTGCCTGTTGTGACTTCGGCTGGATTTTTGCACTGTTTTATGCAACTTGCCCTTGTAGATGTTGAGTCTATGACCTTTGTTTCTGAGTTCCCATTAAACAGTACTTTTCGGGCAACAAAGTAAAGCAAATTAAATGGAAGACTGCTTATCTTTGCTTGAGATATTATCTAGGGGAGCACTTGAAAAATTGAGAGTTTTTTTTTCTTTGTCCTCTAGGAGAATATAATCTCAAATTTTAACATAGCATTTCTCCTTGCTTAGTTTTCTTTGTTCTTATTAATAGTCTCAGGGTGGACATGATCACAGTCATCACCACGCACATGGGCATGGACATTCCCATGAACACGAGTCTAAGAAGTTTCTGGAAGAATACGATGCTGTATTAAAAGGGCTCGTTGCTCTAGGAGGCATTTACTTGCTGTTTATCATTGAACACTGCATCAGGATGTTTAAGCACTACAAACAACAAAGAGTGAGTGTTTTTTAGTTGTTTATTTCATGACATAAAACTCAAAAATTATCTTTTTGGGGGCATATGCTTTTCTTAATTGTTAGTGTGTATTAAATCTCTTTTTAATAGTTAATCATCAGAGGAGAAGTTGACTTTGATCTTTGTCATTTTTTATTACATTTATTTTGGCACTTATAATCAAGATATAGCAACCTCAGTTTAATTTGTATTGCATCTCAGTTAATTTGTGTTGAATCATACCTAGTGAACTTAAATAGAATGGAAAAGGCTGTTGTGTTTTATAAAAATGCAAAAATGCATAAATAGAAGCAAGTATTATCAATCTTCTTGGGTAATGCTTTTAATTATAAGTGGCTTTTATCATAGTATTTTCTAATGATTGTTTTGGAGAATGATACACTACTTGGAAGATGATGTTTGGTTGGATTGTTGATTGAATACTCTGATTGTCATGCTGCTGTCTGTGTTCCACTTTACACTGATGAAAGTAAGACAAATATTAGAATTTCCTCCAAGAAAGTAAGTTCAGGGTGCTGCCATTCACCGGTTTACACCCCTTTTTGTTCACATCAGTTCTGACCTACTTTTAAGATCTACCTTTAGTACATCTCACTAACATGTTTGCGATATGAAACCGATTCTCTTCAGTATAGTCTAAGTAAAATTTTTTCACAAAAAGAGTTAGAAAATTCTTACATTTCATTAGTTAACTCTATCTTTTTTTCCTTCATAACTTGGGATAGTCATAATCTTAATATGTACAGTCTAATTTTAAGATATGATTTTAGGCCAGGCACAGTGGTTCATGCCTGTAATTCTAGCATTTTGGAAGGCCAAGGTGGGAGGATCACTTGAGCCCAGGAGTTCAAGACTAGCCTGGGCAATATTTCCTGAGACAAAATATGGTTTGGAACCGAGCTCTGAACCCCATGGGCTTCAGGGGGAGTACTTATGGTTCACACAGAACTATCCGTGTGGCTGTGACTCATTCTTTATGATTTCCAGTAACTGTCTGAATCATGAGAAAAGAAATCTTATAGTTTCATCTGTATTTTCATGCCGTATTTCAGATTGTACATCTTAAGTTACCACATTCAGTCAGGACATCATCACATGCAATTGCCTGCAAAGGAGGGGGATTAAAAGAGTGAATCCAAGGAAGTGTTATCTTTTGGGGAGGAGAAGGCATTAATTCTGGTGGACCAGTGGAGAGTCAGGTGTGGTGGAAGTGGTGCAAAGGCAGAAGTGACCAGAAGGAAATGAGTTGACTAAGGAGATGATTTCAGAGTAATTTAGAAAAGGGGTCATGGTGGCTTGAACTAAGGTCAAGGCAGAAGGAAATAGGAAGGAAAAGATGCTTAAAGGACTTATTTAGATGAGAGAATCAATAAAAGGACTTGATAATTGATTAGATGTGAGAAGTCTTGAAGAATTCATCATATAATAAATTATATACTGCAAAGTGTGTAGGGAAGTTGGAATTACTACTTAAGTATCCCTGTTCCAAAAATCTGAAATCCCAAATGTTCCAATGATCATTTCCTTTAAGTGTCACATCAATACTCAGGTAGTTTCAGGTTTTGGAGTATTTCAGATTTTAGATTTTCAGATGAGTAGTACTCAACCCGTACTGTGAAGCCAAAATTTTCTTTCTTTTTTTTTTTTTTTTTTTTTGAGTTGGAGTCTCACTCTGTCGCCCGACCTGCTGGGCTCTGGCGATCCTTCTGCCTCCACCTTCCAAGTAGCTGGAACTATACAGACGCATGCTACCACGCCCGGCTGATTTTTTGATTTATTGTAGAGATGAGGTCTCACCAAGTTGCCCAGGCGGGTCTCGAACCCTCAGGCTCAGGCAATCCACTCACCTCAGTCTCCCAAAGCGCGGGATTACAGGCTGAGCCACCAAGCCCGGCTCAAAATTTTCTTAAATTGTGCACATCTACTGACACTGAAGCAGCAAATACTAAAACTGTTAGGGACTGTTGTTTACACATAAGTATAAACTGTAGTCCTTTAAGGGATAGTTCAAGATAACGAGTTTTTTGCTTTTTATAATTTGGTCTTACTGATCTCATTTTGAACCTAAACTTACTGATGGAGTCAAATGTATTTAATTTGCAAAGGAAACTGGTATGAAAATGGAATTCCCAAAGCATAGCACCTTTGTAAAAATATGAAGTTGCAGGAAGTTAACACTGAAGGAACACCTTTTTTGGGGGGAGTTTTTCAAGTATATCACAGGGCGTCTTCTCTATGGTAAAAATGACAGTAAGTAACTGAAGATGAAGAGGCTATGGCCTGTTTTTTTTTCGGAAGAAAGGGAAGTAGTGGTACTTGAATAGAACAGACATTTGACAGCCTGCACAGAAAAATTAGATCTTGGAAAGAAGCTTTTATATAATCTAAATAAAATGCCAAAAACTGACTGGATTTGTCCAAGGAAAGTGGACAGTCAGAACCAAAACAGGTAAATAGAATTTTAGCTGTTGGCACTTTCTTTAATTTGTATCCTTCTCGTTGACTTTTGTGCTGTTGTTGACGCTTTTTTTTTTTTTTTTAACTCTTTAACTCTTGGCTGCTGTTTCTTTTCTTTAGGATGTCTCCATATCATTATTTTCTTTGAACATTTTGTATTTTCTCCATTTCTGTTAATTCAGTGGCTTACATCAGCAACATTATTTCTAACAATTCTGTGAGTCAGGAGTATAGCAGGATTCAGCTGGGCAGTTCTGCTCTGCTTGGTATTTGCTAGAGTCACTCACAGATTACATTCAAGTTCATCTGACTGACTGGGCTGGGCAGGGCTGAAAGGTTCATGAATCTTCATCCTGTCTGCATCTTGGGCTTCTCTCTACATAGCTTCTCTTTATGGCAGAGTCTGAGTTTCTTCATAGAATGGGGGGTGGGCCGCTTTAGGACGCCACCTGGGATGGGCACAGCATTGCTTTTGCTGCATTCTGTTGTAAAACAAGTCAAAAGGCAAATTCCAAGGGTCTTTCGGTGTCCTCATGGCAGGCGAGGGAGGAAACAGTTACCTTGAGGTCAGTCAGCCCAGTCAGCCACAGGTAGAAGACTTGAACGTCTGAAACAGTAGTCTACAAAACCAGTGACAAGAAAATGCCACACCAGTCAGTAAGTGTCTTCCAGAGTATGCTGAGTTTCATTTCACCCTGTTCTACTGTAATTGATTATTTGCTTGCTTAAATTAACATGCATTAGAAAAATAAATTTAAGTTGGAAGAGTTGTTTTACACTGGTAAAAGAAGATAGCAGTGAAAAGCCAGACTGTTAAGTCTTACAATATTCAAACCTAAAAAATGAAATATAGTAATTAGTATTTATAACTAATTGAGAACAGATTAAATTGTGCTCACTGTCTGATTGTAAGGTGATGAGAAGGAATGCTTGTCTTTATTGCAAAGCTCTTAAGAATCTTTTTTTGTTTTACAAGATGAGTCTTCTTAGGACCAATAAATTTTACAAATTTGTCCAAGTCTCAGATGTAAACTACAAATTTAGGATTCTAACTCAAATTTGACACTTTCCATTATGTCACAATAAGGGAAATGGAGGTTGAATAAGCTTTAGTTTTTAGGACTTCTGTTACCTTACACTATTGGGCTAGTGACACATATTTCACACATTTCTTTTAGGTTTCATAAATAATTTAGTACTGTGTACTCTATTCTTAATTTTAATTTACATTAATTAAGCCTCTTATTTGAGTGTTTAAAAAAAATTTAGTTGAATTTTTCATCTGGTAGATTCCTTGACTAATTTCTAAAAAAAAATGTTTCTCTCCTGTTTCTAAGTAATTTATGTATAAATAAAACCAGTTGTCCCCACAGGTGTTAACAAGTGAATACTGTTGCTAATTGTGGCTGCAGATTTTGTACTGATATCAAATGCTTTTTTAGGGGAAGCAGAAGTGGTTTGTGAAGCAGACCACAGAGGAATCAACTATTGGAAGAAAGCTTTCAGATCACAAGCTCAACAACACACCAGATGCCGACTGGCTTCAGCTCAAGCCTCTTGCCGGTAGACAGCACTTCTGACTAAAGAGGAACTTTTTAAACTTAAGGGTTGAAATATTGTTTCCAAACTGTGCCTGTGTTGTTTGAATTTTGTTGTCTTTGTGGCCTCTCTAGTATTAGTGTCTAATGTGTATTCCTTAAATGTGAGTGTGACTTCATTGTGATTTATTTGTTTACTTTTGTTAATTTCATCTGAAATGTGGGACCAATTATATTATGGGGTGAGAAACATTTTGTACTTATAGTTTACAGAAAAAAAATATGAGTGAAACAAAAAGCTTTCCAAGTGCTGAATTCGTGTTAATTTTATTTCGACAGATTATCTATTTCCTCCCTATGTGATTGATTTTTTTTTAATGGAACAAGGAGAATTGGCCTTTTGTGTACTATAAGGAGAATGACCTTGGCCTTTTTGTTTTAAATCTCTGCTTATCCATCCATCCATAATGCTGGATTGACATAATGAGATAGCTTGCAATTTTCAGGAAATGAAATTTTTTTTAACCTAATTTTTCTCCCTTTCTGTTTAGACTTATGTTTTTCCTAAATCTACTAATGATTTTCTGCTAGAGAACTCAACCCCAAAACACACCTTGGGAAGTATTAGGATTTTCATCATATAACAAATGACTTTGGAAAACTAAATGAAAGGCCAATCTCAGTTTTTTAGAAAATGCTTATCAGATTTTGTCACCACTTATGCGAGTTTCTGAGCTTCCATCTAGTAATGATCTGAATAGCATTGCCAGTAAGTGAGAATTGATGATGCAGAAAACTTTGCCATCATCTAACTATATGATTGGACATGTTATTTATTTAAACTCTGTCTTTGTTTTCTTACATGATAAGAGGTTTGAGTGAATAGATGCTAAGATTCCTTTTTTCTCTGAAAAATTATGGGTTTCATTTTGTTATCCTGTTAATGTTGTGGTAACAGTCTACCCTTTGAGTTCGACCAGCTGTCCCAGGATTTGCTCTTCACATGTCCATGATATCTTTGTGCTCTGCCTGCTTTTGATTTGGTTCCCTCTCTTGACCTCATCTGGAGCATCTTAAGCCCCCAGGCTCCAGTTTGTTTTTTGTGTGTGCACGTGTGTGTGTGTGCGCACGTGTGTGTGTATTTGTTTACTTATTTATTTTGTGATTGGACTCCAGAAAATATTCTTCTATTAGAATGTCTTGTAAATACTTTTAGGGAAATCTATTCAAGAATTTTAAAACACCTTCACTTAGGAAATGTTCATGGCACTGCTATTCTGTCTGGGTTTAGATTAGCAAGTAGGTGTGTATTTAAGGGTTGGTAAAGCACGTTCTTTGCTGTCAATATAGGAACCGACGACTCAGTCGTTTCTGAAGACCGACTGAATGAAACTGAACTGACAGACTTGGAAGGGCAGCAGGAGTCCCCCCCTAAGAATTACCTCTGTGTGGAAGAGGAGAAAACCATGGACCCCTCTCACAGGGACGGGCTGCACACCGCCCATGAGCATGACCTGCATGCGCCTGCACACAACCACCACAGCGAGGACCAGACCGTGCTGAGGAAGCACAACCATCAGTGGCACCACAAGCATTCCCACCACTCACACGGGCCCTGCCATTCTGGATCTGACCTCAAGGAGACCGGAATTGCCAACATCGCCTGGATGGTGATCATGGGGGACGGCATCCACAACTTCAGTGACGGGCTGGCCATTGGTGAGGGGCTGAACGGGCTTACGATGGCTTGTTCTTTAGGCTGTCTCTCCACTATGTGCTGATCTTCTGAGCTGTATGTGAGATTAAAGTGTTCCGGTGTTCAGCATATATACTGCTATAGATTTTTGTCATTTGATTTTTCCAAAAGCTGTAGTTTTGCATTTGAGAGTTGTATTTGGAGGTGTCATGGTAGAATTTAGTGGTTTTTTGAGCCTCTAAACAAGTGTCTGTGGTATACTTCTTTAATAACTTGATTTCTCATTCAAAGCACAGTCAGCATATTGAAGAAGCTACCTTAAATTATATTTTCAAATGCACTTACATATCCCTGAAATAGAACAGTTTAATTTTAATCTTAGGTTTAATACATTTTTCATAGCTTTGAAAAGGCAAAGAAAAATTGTACTTCATTAGAAATTCATTTGTACCAAATTCAAATATAATTAGAATCTCTCTAATGTAGACTGATAATACCAGTTTCGGAGACCATTAAATGTGATTTTCTTTGAGATCCAGGCTCTATTAGCGTCCAGAAGTAGGCTTTGGTTTCTTTCAAAAAGTAGAGACCATATTTTTGAATCCATAGTAGCTGTTAATAATAAAGAATTAAGAATTCTACTAGTAAACCTAGCATGCATTTATACATCTGATCTGTCCTCAAGACCATCAGACAACGAATACTTTGTATTATTTACACTCTAGACCCAGGAAAGTTTTGATAAGGGTTTTAGCCATTTAAGTATTCATAAATATCAATGTGAGAGAGCAAGTGCAATCTTAGACTTGTAAGACTTAATATTGAGCATCAAACTACTACTCAGAGATTGAAATGCTGGAAATTGTTGCTATCCCCAAGCGGTTAGTGAGTTAGAAGGCTATACAAGTAGAGAATTCAGCTCAGTATCAAATATTGCTTTTGTTGAATGTCTCTTTTTTATTTGTCACACACCTGTTATATCCCCTAAATGTTCAAACACTAGTGCATAAGCTAGTTGAGTCACTTGTCTATTATGAAGTTAATTAGACAAAAAGAACTGCATCTGTCTTCACGAATGAGGATGCAGAGGGTAAGTAAAGTCACACATCGTTTTTTCTTCTCCTCAGGAGCAGCTTTCAGTGCTGGGTTGACGGGAGGAATCAGTACTTCTATAGCCGTCTTCTGCCATGAGCTGCCACATGAATTAGGTAACATGACCTTAAACATTTTTACCAGCTTTCATCAAATCTAAAACTTTCTCAGTTGTTAACGTATTCCAATTTCAGAGGTTTGTTTAAGACATAAAAAATGGATGGTGGTAACTGTAAAGTGTCATTAATTGTAAGACAGAGTGTCATTCATTGTAAGCTAGTTTAACATCAATAGAAATGTTAATTTCTGTGAGCTTTTCTTTACATTCAATATTATGCTATCATGATGGATAATAGATTATGACTAGTACACTGAATATAACTTTTAAAAAGAAATATTTCTTTTTTTTTTTTTTCGAGTTGGAGTCTTACTCTGTCGCCCAGACTGGAGTGGAATGTATTGGCACGCTCCCGGTCACCGCAGCCTCGATTTGTTGGGCTCTGGTGATCCTTCCGCCTCAGCCTTCCAAGTAGTCAGAACTATAGGCGCGTGCTGCCATGCCTGGCTAATTTTTGATTTATTGTACAGATGAGGTCTTGCCAATTTGCCCAGCTGGGTCTCGAACCACGGGCTCAGGCAATCCACTTCTCTTGGCCTCCCAAAGTGCTGGGATTACAGGCTGAGCCACCAAGTCAGGCCAAGAAACATTTCTTAATTGAAATACCATAAGTTGCTGTTAGCCTGCTTTGATTTTATTTTATATACCGTGTAAACTATTTTTAAAAGAATCAGGGTAAGGTTTGCTGCATAGTTGAAAGTTGTCCTAGATGTACCTAAGGTAGTCTTTTTTCACAAATAATGGAAAAATATGTTGATGTTCAAAAAAGTGAGCTGCATGGTTATTAAAGAAATTCGGGTGCATTCTTGACTCTGTCACTAACCAGCACCAAGATTTTGGAATAAAGCTCTTATTTATTTTTTAAATAATAGCTATAGGATCTCATTCTGTTGCTTGGGCTGATCTTGAACTCCTGGACTGTCAAGTATTCCTCCCACCTCAGCCTCCCAAAGTGCTGGGTTTATAGGCATGAGCCATCACACCTGGCCCTCTTTCTCATGGTATCTAAAAATAAGAGGGTTGGTTGATATCTCTCTCTCTCTCTCTCTCTCTCTCTCTCTCTCTCTCTGTGTGTGTGTCTGTGTGTGTGTTTTATATATATATTAATATCTATAAATATCAGTGTGAGAGAGCATGTAGTCTTAGACTTTCTTAGTAATAAGAAATCTTTGGATAATCATACATCACATCCATAATATGCTGGAAAAACCTTTAGCTTACCTTCTGCTCACCTACACACCCACTGCCCTGAAATGGAGTCTGTTAGGCTGCCTCATGAAATTCCCTATAGCTGGAGGATTCACTAGGGCACAGAATTGAAAACAGGTAGTTTTGGAGATTGGCAATATTTGCCTCCCTACCACCACTCCTTTTTCTCTCTGCAGTTTCTCAGTGAAGGTGTGACACAAGGAACGATAGCCACATGTGGAACAAATGCATTACACACATTAGTGACTGGGTAAGCTCTTGGTATCCACTGCAGAGCTCTAGTTAAAAGCTGGATTGTGGATCCCTCAATGAGACTTTCAGCCTCATATGTCTACCTGTTTCAACTCCCAAGCCAGAGATTGAGCTGTTGCTACTGCTGTGGGAAGAAACATCAACCCAAAGGATACTGAGCTCTGCCCAAGGGAAAGGATCATGGCCTTGTAAAAACACACATTTTCCCCAGTGCCTAGTGCTAAATCATCATAAGCTGCCCCTTACTCAGCTAGATACGTTACCAGGGAGAAAGAGATAGAAATGACCCAGCTTCCTTCCCTGATGGTGACAGAAAAAGCCCTGGGCCCTTGTGCTCACCATCAAGGCAGAAAGTGGTCTACCGACCCTGAATAAAGGAAGTAAAACATGATCATGGAGCCTAATGTTTGCCTTAAGGCACAATGTTGGGCACATAGGTGAAATAGGGCCAAGAAAGTGTGTAACTGCTCTGATAAGATCCTCTCTTGCTTATGTGAAGAGAGGCACACAGACCTCTGAACCCCCGGCACAGGGCAGGTCACTCCTCTGTAGGCTGCGTGGGCGGGAGGTAGGCGGAGAGAAAGGGGTCTCCTCTCACTCAGTAGGTGAAGATGTTGACATAACAGTAGAGAAAAACGCAATTTCAGGATGATTCATGTAATCTAAAGCCTGTGTGCCCTACTAATATTTCTTATTATAAATTCTTAAAAACTATTCAGAAATTTCCATACTGACGTCAGGGAGAAGACACTTTTTAAATGATGTTGCAATAAACTGTGGACTCTCTGTCGGTCAGTAATTCCAAGTTCTCTGGTTCCTCTTCTGGATAGATGTTGTTTCTCCTGTGGTATGTCAGGTGTGTTTGTGTTTAGGAATGTGATAAGGAAAAACATCCTTAGGACTGTGAAAGGATAAACAGCACAAGGAGTTTCACTCTAGGAGGTGTGAAAAAATGGAAATTGGAAGCCCACATCTCGTTTTTGTGTTTGCTCTGGGATGAGTGTGGTGGTGGGTAAAATTGCCTGAATTATTTACTCTCTTTTCTGTGTTTTGCCAAAATGCCATAGCTGAGTTTAAGTTACAATATTATTTTGTTGTATTCTCTCCACTGTTTTCTCCTTCCTTCGGTAAGGAGGTGTATATGCTTTTTAAAAGTAATTGCTAATGAAGCCCACGGAAGACCGTCTAAAGGGGTGCCGAGTCAGTGTGCCATCCGGGAAGGAGGGGGAGGATGGAGCCACTTCTGGGAGGATGGGGCCTAAACCCAGAGTGCATCAGCTCCGAGAGTCGGTCTGCGCCCTCAAACAATTGCCAGGGTCTTGGGCCCCACCATCATTTCACAGACTTCTGCCTGAAATCCAGAGGCTTCTGCAGAGACTTTTGACTGGTCTGACAATTAAGTTTACGGACGCATCCTAGAAAAAGTGCTGTGTACCTCTTTGCAAAATATCACTATGGTCCCTTGGGAAGCTGTGCACCAATGTCAGTACCTAGTCTACCCGTCAAAGCAATTTTGGAACTCTTTTTCTGGAATGACCATCAGAGCTGTCAGTGTGAGAATGTCAGAGTTTGAATTAGACCAGTGAGCAAATACTAAGTTTGTTAAATTGACCAGAGTGAAAGTGAAACCAGGGACATGTTAGTCCAAGCTTATGGGAATAATGCCATGAAGAAAATGGCAGTGACCAAATGGATTAAATATTTTTCTGAGGGGAGAGAAGGTGTCACTGATGAAGAGAAACCAGGATGGCCAGTAACAAGCAGAGTTGATGAAAACATTGCAAAGATTTGTCAGATTGTGTGTCAGAATCATCAGCTGACTGAGGAGCACTGCAGAACAAATAAACATCAATAGAGAAACAATTAGGGAAAGCTTGGCATGAGAAAGGTGTGTGCAAGAAATGGTCCTGAAGGAGCCGGAGCTCTTACATCACGACAGTGTACCAGATCACACAACACTGTCTGTGATGGAGTTTTTAGCCAGTAAACAGTGTATTGGGACACCCCCCCTATTCACCTGATCTGGCCCCCAGTGACTTTTCTTTACCCAAAGATAAAGGGAATATTGAAAGGAAGACATTTTGATGCATTCAGGACATCAAGGGTAATACAATGACAGCTCTGATGGCCATTCCAGAAAGAGTTCCAAAATTGCTTTGATGGGTGGATTAGGCACTGACATCATTGCATAGCTTCCCGAGGGGAGTGCTTTGAGGAGTGCTTTGAAGATTACTGTAGTGATATTGAGCAGTGAGGCATGTAGCACTTTTTCTAGGATGAGTTCATGAACTTACTTGTCAGATTGCATATTGGCAAATTAAAACATTCTGCCATCTTGATCTATCGCCTTTTCCAACCACTCTTGATGTTGAGTAGTGTTTCAACTTGGAGGAAACAACACTTTGATAAATAAATGTAGCCCTATTAAGACTCAGCCTAAGAAAATTACAGTATACTTGCTTCCTTTCCTTTCAAGTGAATTAAGGATTGTGTAGAAATTCAAAATAAGATTTCTGTAATGTGCTAAATTGTCTAGGGAAGGTTGAATGAATTTATTATGTAGATTTATGTGGAATATTACTGTGTATACAAGCATTATTTAAGACAAAATAAAGAATCCTAGAATATATACTTGTTTTTAAAAATCTCAACAGTTGACATTGCCAGATATTAACATAACTATAGTACTGAGCACATTGATCTAACACCTTTGACAGGTACACCTCATTCTTTGTGCTAATGATATCCTTTGTCAACAGGAAGGAAAGAATATTGATTTATCAAAGATGAATAGATTTGTATGTACAGTCTAAATCTCAGCTATGAGGATTCCTTTGACTTATTTTTAAATTGTTTATATATACAGGTTCTTTTTTTTTTTTTGAGTTGGAGTCTCACTCTGTCCCCCAGACTGGAGTGCAGTGGCCACTCCCGGCCACTGCAGCCTCGACCTGCTGGGCTCTGGCGATCCTTCCACCTCAGCCTTCCATGTAGCTGGAACTACAGATGCGTGCTACCACGTCCGGCTGATTTTTTTGATTCATTGTAGAGATGAAGTCTCACCAAGTTGCCCAGGCGGGTCTCGAACCTGCGAGCTCAGGCAAACCACTCACCTCAGCTTCCCAAAGCTCTGGGATTACAGGCCGAGCCACCAAGCTCGGCTTTATACAGGTTCTTAATGAGAAGGGAGATGAGCAGAAAGGGAAAAAAATAATGCAGATACCTTTGAGAATTTATAACCAGAGATAAGAATAGGACAAAGATTTTTAAATGATATAATTCACTAGATACAAAGATCATTAATACAAAAGCCATTTGTACTACTATATACTAGCAATTAATAATTGAAACTCGAAATTTTTGAAAAGGCACTATTTACAGTAGCACCCAGAACATGAAATACTTAACATAAATCTAGCAGAATATGCATAGAATCTATGTTGGAAACTACAGATCACCAACAAAAGGAATCAAAGGAGACCTAAATGAATAGAGATGCCAGGGTCAGGAATCAGGAGACTGTTGTCACTGCTGATTCTTCCTGTAGATGCAATGCATTCTAAGTCAGAAACCCATTAGGCATTTTTTCAGATGAGCATAAGTCTTCAAAAATTTTTGTGTGGGCTGGACTCGGTGGCTTAGCCTGTAATCCCATCATTTTGGGAGCCTGAGGTGAGTGGATTGCCTGAGGTTGCCACGGGTTCAAGACCAGCCCGGGCAACTTGGCGAGACCTCGTCTCTACAATAAATCAAAAAAAGATTAGCTGGGCGCGGCAGTGTGCACCTGTAGTTCCGGCTACCTGGAAGGCTGAGGTGGAAGGATTGCTGGAGCCCAGCAGGTTGTCGTTGTGGGATGAGCATGCCACTGCACTCCAGCCTGGGCGATGGAGTGAGACTCCAACTCAAAAAAAAAAAAAAAAAGAAAAAAAATTTATGTGGAAAGAGTAAGGAACTTGAAGCCAGAAGAATTTTGAAAAAGGACAACACAGATGGCTTCAAATCTTGCTGTAAAGCCACAGTCCTCCAAACAGCTAGGTTTTTCCCTTTTGCAGCCATTGCTGAGGCATAGCGGCAGAATGAGTCTCAGTCCCTTTGTGACTTCAGACCAAAGCAAGAGCCACACAGACATGTTGGTGCACCTTCCCACATTTCCAGGAAGACATCTTGCCTTCTCTCCAGAGAGCTGAGATGGGTGTTTACTCCACACCCATTCAAGAGGATGATGACGTTCAGGTTGGGCCAGGACACTGTCAAGGTCAGCAAATTAGAAAGTCGTTCAGGTCTACAGGAAGAATATGTCATCTGTGTTGAATGAGAGCAGCGGGAAAAGGTGGATGGCACAGCTGTGCCCAAAGGTGGATGGTCAGCATTAGGCTAAAACCAGACAAAGACCACAGAAAGATGCTACAGTAATAGAAAGCAAGTCTCACCGAAAGGGCAGATAGGAGGAAACCACCGAGAAGATGCAGGGTCAGGTAGTCACACACAACTTCCATTCAGAACTGCTAACTGACAAAAACACAGTGGGACTCGGTAAAAGAATAGACATAAGTCAGGAGAACAGCATAGAGTCCTCATAGGTGGCAATCTATTTTCAAAAAAAGTGCAAGGAAAATTCCAAGTAGAAAGGACAGTCTTTTAAACAAGTGGTGCCGCAACACTTGGACAGCCACTGGAAATTTAAGAAAGAAAGAAAAATAGAGCCATAACTCGCACCCTAGACACAAATGAACTCCAATTTAGGTCATTGATCTAAATGGAGAATCCAAAAATACACAACTTGTGGAAGAAAACATAAGAGAATATCTTTGTGTCCTTGCATTAGTTAGGCAGACTAACAAAATGGACTTCATACAAATTAAACACTCTTTGCAAAAGACACTGTTAGGAGACTATGAAGGCAAAACACAAACTGGGACATAGTATTTGGAAAGTACATTTCCAAGAGGACTTTTAGGGGCAGAAAATCTTACTACCTCTCGTTTCAGTAATAGAAAAACAACCCAGCATTAAAAAAAAATAGGCAAAAGATCTGAACAGACATTTCGCTAAAGAAGGTTTATAGATGGCAAATAAACACATGAGCCTTTCAGATGCTGTATCTGTCATTAGGAGCTGGCAAGGTTTGGAACAACTAGAGTTTGATGGTGTGTATAGTTACATGGTATGTGTGTTTATCAAAATTCATAAAACTCTACAGCAAAAAAAGAAAGTGGCCAGGCACAGCAGTTCACACTTGTAGTCCCAGCACTTTGGGAGGCTGAGGCAGGAGGATCACTTGATCCCAGGAGTTTGAGACCAGCCTAGGCAACATAGCAAGACTTGTCTCTGTGAAAAGTCTGTTGGATGTGGTGGTGTGTACCTGTAAGCCCAGCTGCTTGGGAGACTGAGGTGGGAGGATTGCTTGAGCCCAAGTGTTCAAGGCAGCAGCAAGGCATGATCGTGCCATTGTATTCCACCTGGGTAAAAAAGTGAGACCCCTCTACTCAAAAAAAAAAAAAAGAGTTGCGCATATAAGTTATACCTCTGTTGTTAAAACAAATAGACTAGGCATGGTGGCCAACACTCGTAGTCCCAGTGCTGTGGGAGATGAGGCAGGAGGATCTCTTAAGGCCAGGAGTTCAAGGCTGCAGTGAGCTGTGATGGTGCCACTGTACTGTAGCCTAGGCCACAGAGCAGGACTTGGCCTCAAAAAAATTTTCTTGCTTTAATAAAACTAATTGAATCTTGATTAGTTAGTTAATTTGTGCTGTTTGGTTGTTACTCAGGAGTGAAGTAAATAATCTCGCTGTCCAGTAATACCAGAGGCGGCCACAAGTTGTAATGTGAACCTATGACACAGCTGTCCATTGAGTATTAAGTAATGCTCCTTTTAAAAACGCATTATGACATTATAAAAGGAAGTAGTGCATTTTAGAACCTAAAAGGCACTTCATTTTGTATTGCCTAACCTACTAAATGAAATTGCCTCTTTAGCACTGTTGATGGGTGAATTACGAAAGACAAAGGGAAGATTTGCTAGGGAAGTTAGCCAGTGCTTTCCTTAGAGAAAACTGAAAAAGACCAGAAAAAGTCAAACAAAACTCCAGGAGAGAGAAGAGCTAGAAGCTGGTATTAAATCCAGGTCTCAGCAGGAGAATGAGGGTGTTTAGGATCAAAGGGGGAAAGATGTAAGGAGAATAACATGAAGTGAAAGCTGAGGAATGGCGAGTATAAAGCATCTTCTCGGGTGCGTTACCTTAGCTCTCCAACTTATCGTGCATATAGTACAACTGACTTGTGTGTGCATGCGGTTCTTTGAATTCTACCATGTAGGTAGAGATGTGTGCCCAGCACAGCCGTCCTCAGGATACAGCGCTGCTCTGTCGTCCAGCGGCCCCCGCCACCCTCTCATGTCACCCCCGCTGTCCCTCGTCCCCACAGCCACAGACTGTTCTCCGTCGCTGCAGTTTTGTCCTTCTGAGAGTGCATGTGTAACTCCTCAGGCTGTCTTCTTTCAGCATCGTGTCTTTGAAATTCTTCCAAGTTTTGCATGTATTTTGGTTTAATAAGTACAAAATGCATTTTAAGTAATAAAATATGAGTTACTACAAGCATATTATTTATACTTATTATTAAATTTCTTAATGGTGTTTAAAAAATTTTTTTCCTTTTATTTTAAAGATATGGGGTACCATTTCAGGGTTAGTATACAAATGTTCATTGTGCAGGTGCTCTTGTTGAAGAAGTGTGCCCCTTCTTCCCCCCCCGGGGGGGGGCAGTTTCCCACTACTGCCACTCCTGTTCCCGCCCTCCCCTGGCAGTTTCCCACTACTGCCAGTTCCTTTCTTTTTTTCTTTGTTTTTTTGAGTTGGAGTCTCCCTCTGTCACCCAGGCTGGAGTGTGTGGCATGCTCATGGCCACCACAGCCTCGACCTGCTGGGTTCAACTGATCCTTCTGCCTCAGCCTTCCAAGTAGCTGGAACTACTGGCCCACACCACCATGCCCAGCTCATTTTTGATTTATTGTAGAGATGAGGTCTTGCCAAGTTGCCCAGGTGGGTCTCGAACCCGTGGTATCAGGCCATTCTCTCACCTCGGCTTCCCAAAGTGCTGGAATTATAGGTGTGAGCCACTGCACTGGGCCCATTTCCTTTCTTACAGTATTACGATAGTTGTTCAAGGTCTGCTTATGAATGAGGACATGTGATACTCGGTTATTTGTTTCTGTGATAGATCACTCAGTATTATAGCTTCTAAGTCCATCCAAGTTGCTGCGAAGCTCATAATTTTATCTTTCTTTATGACTGCGTAATATTTCAACTTGCATATGTACCACTTTTTAAAAAATCCCTTCCTCTTTCAATGGGCAGCACAGTTAGTTCCATATTTTTGCTTTTGTAAATAATGCTGCAGTAAACATGTATGCACAGGTATCTTTTGCAAAGAGTGATTTGAGTTCCTCCAGGTATATTCCCAGAAGGGATTGTGGGGTCATATGGGAGGTCGATTTTTCAATCTTTTAGGAATTGTCACAGTTTTCCACAGAGGATGTGCTAGTTGACACTCCACCAACAGTGTAGAAGTGTTCCCTTTTTGCCGCATCCTCTCCAGTGGTCATTGTTTTTTGAGTTGATGGTGGCAAAATGCTGTTTTTAAATGTTGCTTTGGTTTTCTCCACTCAGACTTGTGTTTAAAAACCTGCTTCTACTTGCAGGTGATTTTGCAGTTCTCCTTAAAGCAGGCATGACTGTGAGGCAGGCCATCGTGTACAACCTGCTGTCGGCCATGATGGCCTATGTGGGCATGCTCATTGGCACAGCCGTGGGCCAGTATGCCAACAACATCACCCTGTGGATCTTTGCCATCACTGCAGGCATGTTCCTCTATGTGGCCTTGGTGGACATGGTAAGATGCTTTATGCTGTTCTGTTGTACTAAATTAATTTTAATTTTACTTTAACACCCCAAATGTGTCAGTGTGTTTACCAAACTAGCAATTCGGTATGTCTCTGTTTTTCTAACTAGATATTACATTACTTTTTTTTTCTGGTGAGATCATCACATGGTCTCATTTCAGAATTATATAGCCTAAATTTTTAGTCAGAATTAATGCCTACTTATTATAGAAAGTGTAGAAAATATGTGCAAGAAGAAGAAGTTAAACGTGTTTATATCCTGTTGTGTAGTAGCCGCCATCCCCTCAACACATGAACTCACGCCTCGTCTCTGGCTCCTGCCCTTCTCTGGTAACCTTTCTTCCTGTTTTGGGAGACACTGAAGCCATCGGGACACCATCCCCCTCTTGCTAACCGGCAGTGTCTCCCATTTACCTTCCTCCTGCCACTGAAAAGAAATGTCCCTGTTGCTGCCTGAGACCAGCTTCTCAGATGCTCCTAGAATGTGCCCTTCCGCCAGTCCCTCAGTCCCCCTCCCCTGTACCATCCCCCCGGCTGGGTCACACCTGTGACCTCACATTGCTTCCCCTCCTTAGAAGGCAGGGAGCTCTCTTGACCTCAGTTTCAGTTTCCCCGTTAGCTACCACCCTGTTGCGGATGGCTTTTAGCAGATCATCATTTGTCGTTAAGTCTTCCTCTTTCTTGAGTCTAGCCTCATTGAGTTTCCCCTGACTGTTCTGCCCACCTGCTTCTGCCAAGTGTCCCATTGACCACAACATTGCTGAGTCCTCCTATCATCCCCCAGGCTTCATTTTTGCTTGTATTTGCAGCAGTATTTGATAGTCAACCATTCTCTCCTCTTTGAAATGCTTTTTGGTCAGTAGGCTTCCAGAACACTGCCCTTTCCTGGCCTTTTCCGTCTCAGTCTTTTTGCTGGATCTCCCTCTTCTCTCCCACCTTTACCTGTTGGCAAAAGACCAAAGTGATCTTATCTAGTATCATGACTGTAACCATTGGCTGACGATTCCTAGATTTATACTGAATGGAACTCCAGACAGATCCAGTCGTTCCCTGGAGCATCAGAAGGCAGGCGCATGCCCCAGGTTCAGATCTAGCTATTCTTGAGAGTGTCTGAGGCAGGCCGACGCCCCGTGTTCAGACCCAGCCCTTCTCTAGAGTGTCTGACCCAGTCCATGCCCCACGTTCAGGTCCACCTGTACCCTGTAGCATCAGAAAGCAGGCCCATACCCCACGTTTAGATCTAGCCGTTCTCTGGAGTATCTGAAGGCAAGCCCATACCCAGTGTTCAGATCCAGCTGTTCCTTGGGCTCTCTGAGGATGCACCATGCCCCATGTTCAGAGCAGTTGCTGATAGTGCCGCCCACTCCTCAGCCATCACTTCCCTAGGATTCTCTGTCTTATGAGCAGTTCTTCCGTTTGCTCAGCCAGCCTGCGTGTCATCCTCGGACCCCACTTTTCCGGACATGTCCGCAGGTCCTGAGGCCTCTTAATCACTGCACTCCATCACTCCCATCCAGCACCATCCTCCCCTTGGCTGCTCTGCCTGCTTCTGCCCTTGTCCCACCCTCCAACCCTCTGCCCAGCAGCTGGTGGGATCCCTTGAAGTCAGATCAGGCCACTTGGAGGCTTCTGAGTCTTTCATGATGTTCCATCTCGTTGGGAGCAAAAGGCCCAGAGTTCTTTCTTTGACGTGCAAGGAGTTTCTGCCTCAAACACCTCCTGTCCTCTCTCCCTGCTTTTCTTTTTTCTCTTACCTTGTAGCCACACCTCACATTTAACTTGTTTTTGAGTTCGTCATCTTCCCCAACAGGCTGTCAGCCCTGGGAGGACAGACACTGGAGCTCATAGTTAGCCTTGAATGAAGGACTAGAAAGCTAGCGGTGTAGAAAGAATGAGAGAGTTTCTGCAGTGAGGATTAGAGAGCAGTGAAGAAGAAATGCAGCCATTATGGTGCTTGTGCTGGGCCTCTGAGAGTGGGACATCAAGCTAGTGGCACTGCGGAGCAACTGGCCAAAAAATTGGGGAATAGAGTTAGGAGTTGGAATTAGGAAAGTTGTTTTGTCGGAGGAATTCTGAGGTGAGTCTTCAAGTTGATGTATTTGACTAGCAGCAAGAGGAAAAGGTGTGTAAGTCAAAGGAAGAAACATTGTCTCTTTGACCAGGAGGTCAACTCCAGTGAGCACTCTCAGGATGTAATCTCAAATGACCTCTGCTGATGAAACCAGCAGAGACAAAACCTTACTGATCGGTTTCTGCAGTATTATTTATAATATCACAATTACATTGGAAATGCTCAAGAAAAAGGGAATATTCACATATTTTTCTGATTTAAATGACACTGAAATTATGTATTTTCTAATGTGAAGTAGGAAAAAAGATTTTTCAGAACTGTGTCCATATTGTCATCAGACCAGTGTTGGTCAGATCCTGCCAGTCACAGAACATGCTGTGCTGAAAGATTGGAGTTTCTTTTGCAGACTTTGGGGGACCATTAAGAGGTTTCAGCATGACATGGCGACATTTTTGTTTCGGAAAGATGGTTAGGGGGAAGATTTTTATTGAGCGAAAGCCATTCGATAAGATGTCAACATACCAGACATTTTAGCTTGAGGTACCTGGGGGTATCTGGCTCTAGGGGACTTTGGGCAGTGCTGTCTGTCAACCAGTATTGAAGCATTTTTGTGTTTTTAACAAGGGTGGCCATCCCTGTAAGTGGTTTTGGCATTCGGGGTGGAGCTGAATGTGGTGAAGCCACAGTGCCTGTTCTGGCTGTCCTGCGTGCATGTCTAAGGGCACATGGGTCTGTGAAAATCCTGCGGACTGTTCCTGCTTGCATATTTAAGGAAAGTCAGAATGCAAAACTTTCATACCAATAAAAACATGGGGAACGGGGCAGGATATGTCTTCTTACTAGAGCCGTAGTAAGGAAGCCGTAGGAAGCTGCTGTTTCAGTTTTAGTCCAGGGCCAGGTCGTCAGTGTTTTAGGCTCTGTGGGCTGTGTTGTCTCTGTCACAGCCTCTCTGCCTTGCTGTCATGCAGGAAAGTGGCCACAGACAACATGTGCCTAAAGCACAGCCAGGCTCAGTGTGGCTTGCCAGGCCTTATCCTAAATCATTTGCTGATTTAAATAAAGTAATTAGGGATTGGGTTGGACAAGAAACATAGCCTTTACTAGCTGTTATGCAACACTTCCATAAACTTTTAAGTGGGGCAGGTGACTGGCGTGACAGGTTTCTCCATGAGAGCCTCAGGAGATTGTTGAGTGCACTGCAGCACTGTCAGAGCATGCTGTGGCTGGGTTAATAGTGGTCATTGTTAAATAACGGGTAATGGTGTTTCCTCCCAGGCAGGGAGAAGTCTCACTTCATAATAGTAAGCATTATGTGACTTAACACTATATTTCTTCTTAAACCCCAAAACCTCATATGCCATTTGGAGTAAGACTTAGTGTCTAAGAGAGTAGCATGTCAGTATCATCTTCTGTAGCTATTGATTTTCAAACCTGAATTATGTTTGCAGAAAAGTAAAAGTAAAAATTGAAAGTAGCAATTCTTTCACAATTTTGATTTGGTTTGGATGCAAAGAATTTATACTTATAATCAATTGCATTTCTTTCACAAAACAAAGGAATTTAGTGTTTATACTTTAAATCTGTGGGTTATTCTTAAATGCAATAGCATATGGTTATGCTCTGGAGGTTAAATGTACTTTTCAAAGCACTATGCCTTTAAATATAGACAGTTTTCAAATGTTGAATTTTTCTTTTTTTTGAGTTGTAGTCTCACTCTGACACCTAGGCTGGAGTGCGGTGGCACACTTACGGCTACCATAACCTCTACCTGCTGGGCTCAGGCTATTCTTCTGCCTTAGCCTCCAGAGTGGCTAGGACTATAGGCACGTGCCAAGCCTGGCTAATTTTTTTAAAAGCTATTATTGTAGAGATGAGGTCTTACCAAGTTGCCCAGCAGTCTTGCCCATGCCTCCCAAAGTGCTGGGATTACAGGTGCAAGCCACCGTGCCCGGCCTAGGTGTTTTGAGAGAATAGCGCGCGCTGTGAGGGCAGTGTGTGACTTGTACTCATTACACTGGGTAGCTGTTTCTGTGTCTGTTATTGGAAAGCCACAGCCTGGGAGCATAGAGAGGCTGCCTTGGACTTGTTTCCAGATATCTCGGCTGCCGTGCGTGGCAGGGAAGTGAGGGAAGAAGTGACGCAGTTCTGGATTAGTATTTCTTAAGAGAATCTTCCTTTCTCATTGAGTTTAAGAAATGTGAGTAAATGTTGGAATTGAGCTTATCTTTTCTGAGAATTTTATTCTTTAGCATAAAGTAAATGATCAGAATTGAACAGCGCATTTACTTAACAGAGAGCTGAAACATAAAATTTCTTCAGTATTTGACTAAAATATGTCTTGTGGGTAGCATTGTGTTCAATAGGATGTTTTGTCTGTCGTTGCACTTTGGTTAATTTTAAGCAGGAACGTGCTTTTGAAGGCGTTTTTGCGCGGGCGCTGCACAGGATCTGACACGAGTTGCTTCTCTCTCAGCTCCCAGAGATGCTGCACGGTGACGGCGACCACGAGGAGCACGGCTTCTGCCCCGTGGGGCAGTTTGTCCTGCAGAACCTCGGCTTGCTGTTTGGCTTTGCCATCATGCTGGTGATTGCCCTCTACGAAGACAAAATTGTGCTGGACATCCAGTTCTGACCATCCCCTTCAGCCGCTGTTGGTGATGAGAGTGCTGTGCAGCTCGGCGTCCGTCCTTGTACCTGTGTGCACGTCGCTCAGAGGAGGTCCCTGGCTCGGGCTGCTCCTAGGCCCACAGGGTTGAGCCTGACCCGAAGGACTGGTGCTCGGTACTGTTTCCTGCGGGAAGGGGCCTCCTCAAGACACAAAGCTCGTGATACAGAGAGGAGAAACGGACTCCGTGAACGTGTCGACATAGGCTTAAGACTTTTTAAAAAATAATCATATAAAAACACTAAAGTAGTCTCTTTATTAGTAAAAACTTCTGTGGCTATGCAGAGATAGAAATTGAACCAAAAAATCATTTAAACTTTAAGAATATTTTAAATGGACTTTGGGCAGACGTTTCTGTGTGTGCCAAGAATGAATGACCGCTTTCTAACCCAGTGCTTCACACACATCGGCGACATGGCCCTGAACCATGTAGACTAGAGGAACGCTTGGCTGCAGTAGAGTATGAATTTAGCGTTGGCAAAGCCCTTATTCTTGAATCTAGAGTTACTATTTTTGTATATATTTGCATAGTGTTTAAACTTGCAGCCTAAACTACTGAAATTTGTGATTGTATGTTTCTGTGAGATTCAGTTTAATGACAAATTCATAATGGTTCTTTGTATTATTATAATACTTGGTGTTTGGGGGTTTTATTCTGTGGTTTTTTTTAACTTTTTGTTTTTGTTTGGGGGTATTTTAGGGGGAGGTGAGGGGTCAGAGGATGTGGTCAAATGTTTTCTTTTTTAAAAATTGCAACCCTCTAGAAAATTTCAAAGAAATGAACCAGACGTGATCTGAATTGTTGATTTTCTTACTTTAGCATCCCAGCTAGTTAACTAGGGCATCGAGGTTCCGCTGTTCACGTTCTTCACCAGTTTGATGTTGGAGCCAAGAGCACGTACTGCGGCTGACAGGAAGGCTGTGAGGCAGAAAACCCCGGCTCGCCATGTCTCTCGCCTGAGCGCCAAGTGTCACCCGGAGCGGTTCCTAAGGAGGAGCCCCCTCTGTCCCGCGGATCGCTGTGCCAAGCGGCTTGGAAGCTGCGCCTGGAGAAGCTGAAGTTACGTGATCATTCTGGGCCAGGAGGCGCAGTTTGTGCCTCATGGGGGGGGATCTGTCTCCTCCGCAGGTGCCGGTCCTCCCACTGTGATTGCGAGTGGCTTGTGAGACGTGCGAGCCGTGTGTGTCCTGGACTCTGACTTTATGATTCGTAGCAGTAGTCACATGCATGTAGCCTTCTGTTTACATTCTGCACCGCAGGTCTTCATTTACAGCAGGCAAACTGTAAGTGAACTCTTTGCAGCTGGCTTTGTTTTAATGTGCTTGGCCACCAGTGTAGCTGCTTTAAAAATCTTACTGTTCCAGTAGGTAAGAGCCAAACTCTCTTCCATTCCATTTTAAATGTCTTCATCGGGCCCTCCTCTCTTCTTTCTTGTTCTTTCCTCTTGATCGGATGAGCTTTGAGTCAGAACTGATGAGAGCAGCCCGTGCATCTGGGTGGCACTCGCGCATCACCGGTGCTGCTTCTCTGCTGCAAGCAAGGGAGCTTCTGTTAGGTCTTTAATTTATGCTGGAATTTGCAAGGCTACTCTGGCTTCTCCGTGGCCCCCTCATGCTAAGTATTAGGAGCTTGCTGTCCATGCTGGGCACTGGGCCAGGACAGTCCTCGTCCCTGCCTGGCCCTCGAACAACCCCGCCCGAAGGTGCTGACTCTTGATTTAGTACTGCCAGCGTCAGGTGACTCGGATGTCTTGATTTCTAACCGAGATCTACTTATAGTTCACTTGGGGGTTTTGTACCCAAGGAGCATTCTGCATTCCAGCATTAAATCGGCTTCGTTTAAAACCTTTACTGAAAACAACAGCTGGAGTCTACCCCCAGTTTTAAAGCAAATGTCTAATGTAAAGCAAATGAGTTATACTGAAATTATATAAAGTTTTATATTCTCTCAAAAAATGCTATTATCTTTATTTGCTAGTTTTACAAATCTTTTAAGAGGGCTGTAACAGTTGCTGCTAGTATTTTGTTAGGGTTCCGCCAGTATTTTGTTTTCATGTCATCCTGATGTATAGTTTCAAGTCTTACTAGACAATCTGATTCCACTACATTTCTGTTTGGCTCCAACATTCCACTTGGCTTGACCAGTCGTCTAATTTAACATGTGCTTGTTGGAGATCATTCATGTGACTTATACAATGCTGTCACTGTGTGACGTCCGTATGAATTTTGGTGTACGTCACATTGCATTCAATCGGCTGTGATTATGCTTAGAAATACTATAGTAACTAAATGCAGTGTGAATTTTTTCCATGAACAATAAGTCAGTGGCTTAAATGTGATTATGATCCTGCAAGGTGATACTTGCTAAAATATCTAAACTTTCTCTTTGTTTTAACTGAATCATTTTTTAAAAAAAATTTTAAAGCTAGAAATGATCAAATGCTGTTTTTTTTTCATTGTCAACAGTGGTGTCTCATTTTATGTATGTTCCTAATGCTTATGGAACTCTTCCAAAATAAAGTTATTCAAAAAGTGCAAACACACCAGTGTACCTTCTTTAGTCTTTATTTCAGAACATTTCCTTACATAGAAGTAGGAATCATTTTACCTTCTCTGCATTTGCATGTAAGTAAATTCATAATTAAGTGTAACTTTAGTCATATTTATTTAACCCAAAACACTTGTTTAAACAGTAAAACACACATTTTCTACTCAGCCATCCAACAGGAAGTTGGAGCAAGAGTTATGTCCCAATCACGAGTTGAGTTGACACAGCAGTGCCACGCCACGGCCGATCCAGTGCTCTTTGGGTTGGTCCGAGGGCAGCGTCATGGCGATCACAAAGTTGGTGGAGTGGCCGGTGGTAGACAGTGTTCCCCTGCGCTCACTTGTCTTGTACAGCGGGGCGACGTAGCTGGGCCGCTCCGGGATATCTGCCCTCCTGCAGGGCTTCAGCCACATCTGGAAGAGAGTGCACACTGCTTGGATCGAGGCCACGCACTCAGGGACTGAGCCGGCTGCCCAGCACGTCTCCAGGACTCTGTGGCCCTGGGTGTCGTGGTTTCCAGCAGCACTGACTGCTCAGAACAGTCTGTCAGAGGTCTCATGACTAGCGCCACTAGATGAGAAAAGCAGTTTTCGCCCACGGCCCCAAAGCCCCTAATCCAGCTGTCCGTCAGCTCCCACCAGGGATGAGCTTGGGGCCTGTGGTCACACAGTGGAAAGTCGGAATGCTTCCCAGGGAGCAAGCTACCTCCCAGACCTAGTACCGGGCTTCATTCACCGCTAGTGCCCCCTGGTGCCGGTGCGACCGGAGCGCCTCCCCCCTCGGGACCGTTTTAAAGGAGGTGTTCCTGTGTGACACTGCCAGTTTAAAACAGCCGCTGTCCTCTGTGATCATGCCATGGCCCGTTCTTTTCAGAATCATTGACCAAGATTTAGAACATTAAGCACGCAGCTTGTTGCTGAACCTTACCAGCCTTAAAAATGAGACTTTGAGGCAAGCAGATCTTTGAATACAACAGTAAGCACAAACTGATCATAAAGATGTTTAGAATTTAGTTACTTTGTTTTTCTGGAGGGTAGGAACAGCCACCCTTGAGGTGCTGCAGTGTGGCAGCCCAGCATTCAGAGCCCCTTGAGTCGTGGGGTCCAGCTGCATCGGGACCGCACAGTGACTGCAGTGACGAGCCGCACGAGACTCCAACCCTTTCACCTTAGGTGTATTTCACTCCCAACCAGAGGGGCTTTCTCTAGTGAGAATCTTATTTCACTCTCTGACTTCCATTTCAGGAGAATCATTATCCATTCATAAATGTCTTCTTTTACTTACTGCAGTCTACTTAAGAGTCATGTGAAAAGATGAAAAAAAAGACACCTCCATCCCGATGAAGTTGCAAACTCATTTGTCCATGTGTCCTTCAGTTTGGGTCTGGATTTAAACTTCCTCTGCCCACACAGTTTTGTACACAGATGACCTTCATTTAGTAATCTTTTAACCTATAAGCTTCATGCTTTTAAGTTAAAGTATGTGTACGAAGAAATGTATAATGACCGTATGTGTGTATGTGTATACGTGCACACAGCTGGTCCTCATGTGTGTGGACTCCAGGGCTCCACATTTGCCCCCTCTCACTCCAGATGTGTAACTCTGGTCCTAAAACCAACACTGACCACACTTGGACTTGTAAGAGTACGAACCAACTGATGAGATGTTCACAGAGGGTCCACCAGGTAACCGTGTTCTCCATTGGTCTCAGCTGTGACCAACTGCCCTTTCCATAATCTGTTTAGAGCCACGTCTTCTATGTGTGTGTGTGTTTTGGTTGATTTCACTGCTTACAGCGGTGCCTGGGCCCCAACGCTGCCATGCCATCCCATGTCCTCAATGGGGGAAGACTGAGGTGCCTTGTGGAGAAAACACTAACCCACACCTCGACAAGGGTCACTTACTGTTGACCGCGGGTCAATGCTAATGAATCCACGAAATGCATTAAATAAGTGTCTTTAAACAGAAACAAGGTTATTTCAGGGTTGGCTAGCAACAGTCATGACCAAAGAGAAGCAGCACCCTGTGCTGTGTTTCCCCAAGAACAGTGACTGACTCGGTGTTGGCAGCAGCCTTTAGAGCACAGTGGCCACGAATGGCAGGAACTGACTGGATGCGTGTGTGCTTACACTTAACACAACATGGCTATGTTGGGCATTATAACAGACACAGAATGTGCAGCATATACTGTAGGTTCGACATACATGAAATAGCCCCCGTGTACATGCCAGTAGAATTTACTCACCACAGGCACTGTGTCATAAAGAATTTTGGGATGCGATTCTGCAAGTTTCTTGATCTTTCTGTTCCAGGAAGCTCCATCCAGAAACAGTCCATTAATGAACACACCTGAATGTAAAAAGAGACAGGTTAGCACTGATGTCGTGCGTGTTGCGTGAGCTCCGGGCACCACTGAGGTGACCCTGGGTCAGCAGCCAGACTGTTCCAAGGTGGAAGCCACCTCCGCTGAGGGTTCTGCTTGACGTTCGTATCTCAAGAACATCTCTTCTTTGCAGAGTGAAGAAATGCAGTGTGAGGTCAGGTGTGGGAGACATAGAGGAAAGGGACTAAACCCGTTGAAGGGAAGGGCTCCGTGGGCAAGAACAAGATCAACCTTATACCTTGAATTGGCCAATGACTCTACTGTTTTCAAAAGCCATGGACCCTGAAAGAAAAGTTCCTTAAGGCTCTCGGAATCCAGCAGCTACCAGGCAGCACAAGACCAAAACACCTGTCTGGAGGTCATGAAATCACAAGACAGGATTTCTTCCCGCTGCCGAGAACTCTCCTCAGCCTGCATGATGGAAGGACAAGCAGATGAACTGTCTCTAGAATGTGGTGTCACCATTAATGACTGAGCACACATTAGGAGGCCCGTTCTGTGGTCCTAGTGTCTATAAAGCCCCGTGGATAGGTGTCTGCCCCTCACTGGGCGCTGGGGTCAGCAGCTACCATGGGATCTGGAAGACTGAGGTGCTGGCTCCGCACCCACTCCGTGTCCTGACAGCTCGTTCAGCTCAGCCTGCTCTGTCAGCCAGAGAAGCACACAGTAATGCGTAGAACCGTGATGCCAGCAGGCTTCTTGCAGAGTGTCAAGTCCAACTGGCAAGCGTAGACCCATGATTCCTGTGGGCTCCTTGCTGAATATCAGGTCCGGTTGGTGAGTGTAGACTCGTGACGCCCACAGGCTCCTTGCAGAGCTTCGGGTCTAGTTGGCGAGTGTAGAGCCATGACACCCTTGGACTCCTGCGGTGTCAGGTCCTGCCAGTGAGTGTAGAAACGTGATGCCCGGGGGCTCCTTGCAGTGTGCGGGGTCCGGATGCCAAGGCAGGGCTCGCTCTAGAGCAGTGTCCACATCCTGTGGATGCTGGCGTCCCATACAGAGCCACTGGCCACCTGTGGCTCTCAAGCACTTGCGGGTGGACCATGCGACCGAGGACCTGAGTTGCCCATATGACTGTGATGATGGTGAGACGTACGTCGCTGCATGTGGGTAGTCTGTCAAGGATGCTGGGGAAGACACCCCTTCCTCCCCACTGGGTTTAAGCTGATGAAGAGAACACGTTGGAATAAAACATCCATCTGATGGACTGGCAGAGCCCTTGACAACAGCTGCTGGGGCAGAGCTCCAGTCGAGCGGAGCTGCCGTCACAGCCTGGTGGGAGCGGCCCTGCCTGGTCTGTGGGCAGAGCACAGTCTGCAATCCGCCTCTCCGGCCAGTCCCCGGGACAAGTGGGAACAGGGAAAGAGAAGCCCAAGCCACCTATTGCTGCCCCGCGCAAACATGCCCGCCATGGCTCCACACATCTCTGCCTCCACCTGGTGGAAGGAGTCGCTTCTTACCCGGGCGGAAGGACAGAGTGAAGGAGGTTTCTTTCAGGACGGCAGAAGTGCTGCTTGGGGTAGAAGTTCCTGCCTGCCCAGCCACTTGGTAGGAAATAAGGAGGATGTGTTCACATGCCTTTGCATTCCTCATGGGCTGTGAGGGCCGTCAGAAAACACACGGCGTGTCTGATGACAGGCAGGGCTGGGTGTGGTGACTCACGCCTGCAATCCCAGCACTTCGGGAGGCCAAGGCAGAAGGATCACTGGAAACCAGGAGTTTGAGACCAGCCTTGGCAACACAGTGAGATGCCCATCTCTATTAAAAAAAAAAAAACAACTAAGAAATTAGGATCATTTTTAAAGATGACAGGCGGTGGCAGTAGTTCACAGCTGCTCTAGCTCCGGGTGCCATGCTTTTGCCGTCTGGGAGATGTGGCTTCACGTAGTGCCAGCCACGGTGTCTCCAGCCCCTCTCGTTCCTTACCTCTGCCTCCCTTCGCAGAGCAGATGACTCTTACCTCTCGTTCCTTACCTCTGCCTGTCCTTCGCAAGGACAGACTCAGCAAGGGGCACCAAGCAGTTTAGAGGAGAGGACTCTTGGGCAAACGCTTTCAAATGCATGGTGCCAGATGCGAGACCAGCTGTTGGTGGCACGTGGCCTTCAGGCGCCCCTTTTCGTGACCTTAAGTACATAAGACTGATGTCCCTGTGAGCCCAGGACCCAGAAACAGGCATGCTCCCCAGGACCTATGAAGGCGGAGACTGGAACTGAAGAGACCCCGGTCCAGCCCGGTGTGCTCACACAGGGTTTCCGTTCCTCCCCCCAGAGTCCCTGACACAGCGATTCCTCAGGAATGTTCTATTTCTCTAATCATTCCATAACCTTTCATTTTCTTTCTTGTAAGGAGAAAACTAGGAAGGAAAACACTGGAATGACAAAAGGGCTAATTTGTGGGTGTGTTTATTGGCGAAAGGCAGATATTAAGTGTATGAGATAATAAAATTCATGATTTTGCAAACATCCATTGGCTATTATAAGTAAAAGGGTCTATTTGGCTGACTCTTCTTCACGGCCCAGTCTTGGGACACTAAAGGGTCCTTGCCGGTCTTTGTATAAATTGGGTTTCACATTTACTCCAATATCTTCAGGATAATCTGGGCTTTTTAATACCTGACCTCCCTCAATAACAGTTTTTGTGGATTAAATTATTATAAAAAGACATGTCAACTACCCTGGACAATAACTAAGTTCAGCGTATGCTTATGGGCAGTTCAATCATTTGATCATGGATATTAGCTGGTTTACAAGCTTTAGGCAGTGCTTTTATAAATGCAGTCTTTTAACTCTGAGACTTGATCAATGCTGCCCAGACTTCAGTCCAAATGCCAACTTCTGACTTTTATTATAACGACATAAAAAAAATAGGAAAAAATGCTTGCATTTGAATCAAATGCTTAAGAATTCGCCATGGGTTCTTACAAACGCTTTCCTTGAGAAGTGAGATGATGTTTTCCAGCTCCACCCTCTCCCAAAATACTGGAGGTCGAGAGCCTGCAGGTGGGCACGGGAGCCCGGCAGCCTGGGCTGGACCTAAGCTTTGTCCCTCCCTGGCAGGGAGACCTGGGCATGCTGTTCAGCTGTTTTGAGCCCGAGTCTCCGCCTCTGTGAGGGGACCAGTGGTGATGTCTGGACCCAGCAGCCGTGCAGTGAGTGTCCCCGTTCCACTCCCAGATACTCAGTTTGGTCTGAGTTATGGATCCTTCTTGGGAGGCTGCCCAGCTTGTCCAGCCACATCTCCAATGCCCCAAGGGTGGGGCTCAGCCCTTCATTGTTAGTATTTCTGATGGTGCCTCCCCGTGAGCTATGCGGGGAGGGGGGTCTTTAAAGCTTCTGCTGGGGTGGAAATGATCAAGTTGACGACTGGCAGAGGCGGTGGCACTCCTGCCGGCTGGCATAGCCCAACCAGGGGGAAAGATTCTCTCAGACACCCTGTGAGCCTCACCCCACATTGGTTGGTCTTTTCTGCAACAAAACTGTGTAGGCATTAAAGGTTGGGATGAGAGGTAGCTAAAAAGGTTGGGCTAGAGTCGGTGGACGTGTAGTGGATTCAAGCAGCATCCTTTTTTGGTTTGAAAGAGATGGGGGTCGCACTGTGTCACCCTGGCTGGCACAGTGGGGCCATCACAGCTCATTGTGGCCTTGACCTCCTGGCCTCAAGTGATCCTCCCACCTCAGCCTCCCAGAGCGCTGGGATTACAGGTGTGTGCCACTGGTCCAGCCAAGCAGCATCATTTTAGGAATTTTTGCAGCAGCCTCTGGGGCCTACTACATGCCAGACGCTCTGAGAGGCGTCGAGAGAGAAGGTGCAGGCAACCGAGACCGCCACCCTTGGTGTTGGCATTGCAGTGGGAAGACTTTAATGAGGAAGTTGCATGAAGCCACGTGACCAATGCTTGGCGCAACTTAGTAGAGCTGTGAGAAAGGCTGCCAAGGGCTTCAACATGCAGGATGTCCACGGGGCCTCTTCCTGGTCACCTGTGGTGAAGCTGAGGCTGGAGGCTGCGAAGCAGGCACCGTGTGGCATCTGAGCTTGGGAATCATGCAAAGATCCCACGGAAGAGGGGCTTGTGGCCTGAGCCTGGTGGCAGGCAGTGGCAGGAGAGGATGGCTTGGCCTGGCGGCAGCAGCTAGAACAAACTTGGCCTCACAGTCATAGCGAGAGTCTGGATTTTACTCAGACTACTAAGGGGAAAATGACAGTTAATTTATTTAGTTGTCTGAATTTTCAATGGAGGCTAAAGGCGTACATAATCCATTTACTTTTTTTTTTTTTTTTTGAGTTGGAGTCTCACTCTGTCGCCCAGACTGGAGTGCAGTGGCCGCTCCCGGCCACCACAGCCTCGACCTGCTGGGCTCCGGTGAACCTTCCGCCTCAGCCTTCCAAGTAGCTGGAATTACAGGCATGTGCTACCATGCCCGGCTGATTTTTTGATTTATTGTAGAGATGAGGTCTCGCCAAGTTGCCCAGGTGGGTCTCGAACCCGCGGGCTCAGGCAATCCACTCACCTCAGCCTCCCAAAGCACAGGATTACAGGCTGAGCCACCGAGCCCAGCTACATTTTTTTTGAAAACTTCTTTCAGGTGTGATGGTTCACACCTGTAATCCCAGCACTTTGGGAAGCTGAGGGAGCAGGACTGCTTGAAGCCAGGAGTTGGAGACCACTCTGAGTAACATAGTGAGATCCTACAAAAATATACGTTTAAAAAGTATCTGGGCATAGTGGTGGGCACCTGTAGTCCCAGCTACCTGGGAGGCTGAGGTGGGAGACTCTCCTGAGCTCAGAAGTTCGAGGCTGGAGTGAGCTCTGATCACGCTACTGCGCTCCAGCTTGGGCAACAGAACAAGACGAAGTCTCTAAATAATAGTATTAACAATAACATGTCTTGGCTTCAGTACAAGTTAAAGACTCCAAGTGGGTAATGACACTAGTGGGCAGACAAGAGGCTGGAACAGAAGTGAGGTAACACATGGTGACAGCAGCAGGACTTGTGGGCGACCAGCTGCGTTCCGTGTGTGCAGACGTGGGGGCAGCATGAAGAGCCTGTAGGCCTGGACTGGAGGGTGGTGCTGCTTCGTGAAATCATCCAGGAGAGCTGATGTGGGTCTGTCAGGTTGGCAGCTGGATATAGAGGCCTGGATATCAGCGGAAAGCTCGAGATTGGAGATGTACGTGTGAGGATGTCAGCAAGGAGCTCGAGATTAAAGACAGAAAAGGATGTGGCCCTTGGAAAGCTCCAGATTGAAGATGCGCATGAATGAACACGAGTAAGGAGACTGAGCTTGAAGACACAGAAGACAAGACCCCTACCTAACCCCACACACAAAAATCAACTCTAAATTGATCAAAGACTTAAATGTAAAACCTCAAACTATAGGAACCCTAAAAAATGCAGGAGACACCCTTAATAGAAATTGGAACTGGCAACCAATTCCTGATCAAAACCCCAAGTGCCCATGCCATAAGAGATGAGGTAGACAAGTGGGACTTCATCTAACTGACAAGCTTCCACAAAGCCAAAGAAACCATCAAGAGAGCAGGGAGACAGCCCACAGACTGGGAAAAACTATTTGCCAATTGTATGAGTGGCAAAGGCCTAACATCTAGGATCTACAAGGAACTCAAACGCACTAAAAAGAAAAAAACAAACAGCCTCATTGCAAAGTGGGCAAATGATATGAATAGACACTTCTCAAAAGAAGACACACGAGCAGCCAACAGATACATGAAAACATGCTCAGCCTCACTAGTCATCACAGAAATGCAAATCAAAACCACACTGAGATACCACCTAACTCCAGTCAGGATGGCCATCATCAGTAACTCAAAAAATAGCAGACGCTGGAGAGGATGTGGCGAAAGGGGAACACTTCTACACTGTTGGTGGGAGTGTAAACTAGTACAGTCTCTGTGGAAAACAGTGTGGCGATTCCTAAAAGTTCTAAAATTCGACTTTCCATATGACCCCGCAATCCCCTACTGGGAATATACCCTGAAGAACTCAAATCACTCTACTAAAAAAATACCTGCACGCATATGTTTATCACAGCATTGTTCACAATAACAAGAACATGGAACCAACCATGCTGCCCATCAAAAGAGGACTGTATTTTTTAAAATGTGATACATATACACGATGGACTATTACGCAGTCATAAAGAAGAATAAAATCATGAAATTGGCAGCAACCTGGATGGACTTAGAGTCTATAGTACTGAGTGATCTTTCACAGAAACAAAGAACTGAGTATCACATGTTCTCACTCATAAGTGAACCTTGAACAACTATTGTAATACCATAAGAAAAGGGTTGGCAGTAGTGGAAAACTGCGGGGGTGGGGGCGGGGAGGTGGGATTGGCAGTAGTGGGAGTCTGCCTGGGGAAGAGGGGGCACACCTCATCAACAAGGGCACCTGCATAATGAATCTTTGTATACCTAATATTTTAAAGATTGTACCCCACATTTTTAAAATAAGACATTTAAAAGTTAAAAAAAAAGATACAGAAGAGGACGCAGCCTGTGGAAAGTTCCCTTGGAGATGGGGTGTGAGGACCAGCATGGAAGCGCAGTTCTGGGGAGTTCTGCTGGAAAGGGGTCAAGACGAGGGGCGTCTGGGAGCTAAGACAAGTGGCATCGTTTGTGGTTTGGCTTAAGACGAAGATGGGAGTCATCCAACTGTGAGAGAGAAAATGGTTCTGGGGAGAAAGCGCCCAAGTGATACTGCAGGTCCTTGAGCCTGGATTCCGCAGGGATCCCGACGTCAGCAAGGGTACCGATCGGCAGTTTTGAAAGCTCTCCTCTGGGAGTCGATTCTTGCTCACAGAGGATGCAGTGGGAGATGGGTAGCGGGAGGGCATGGGGCATGCATGGTTGTCTAGAGGGCAGGAAGGTGTATATATATGTGGGGCGTGGCGTGGGGCTGCCTGGTGTCCCAGCCTCCTGAGGTCTGCGGCAACCAACTAAAGGTAGAACTACTGGCGCAGCCACGTGATCGGCACCCACCATGTGAGCGTGTGTCTGCTTGCCGGTCTCTCTCACCAGAGGATAAACTAGTTGAGGGCAAGATCCCAGTGGTCCCCTAACACGTCTGTCCAGGAGAGAGCCACGAGTCCACCACTTGGTGGTGGGGAAGGGCTGTCGTGGCATGTTAGTTCAAGCAGTGCACATTAACAGCCACTCAGAGAGGAGGGCCATTTGTCTCAAGATCACAACATCTTGGTAAAATTCTGGACCCTGTAGCATGTAAAAAAGAATCCTTGTTTAAAATAGTGGCCCTGTCCACTACATTTGAAATAAAACATCAGGGTAGCCACAGATTATTGAAAATACAAACAATTGATTGAGGAAGTAAAGAAAGATGTCCTCACAATCAGTTTTTCAGTCACAGGACACATGCTCCCATAGCTGTGAGCTAAGGCAGGAAGAAGTGTGTGTTTAGGAGGGCACAGGCCAGCCACCCTGACCTGAGGCCAGCACAGGACCACGGCTCATCACCCCACACACCGCTCACTTGTGATCGCTTTTGAACTTGCTAGAAGTAAGCTCTAACTTATGAGTTTTGCAATAAACAGGTACAAAGGACATGTGTTTTTCACCCAGACTCACTTGTTGTGGCCATTTCTTCCCCTTTCGCTCTGCCGTGCCCTCCTGCCCTCTTGTTCTCTCCCCGGCTCACTTGTTCGCTTTGTCCCTTCACCGAGTTTCTTGCAACCACTCAAGGGTCAGAAACAAACACTGTTGTGACTGTCAACAGCTGAGAAGAGCGAGCCCGAACGTGTCATGTCCGTTCAGGGCCCTTACCCGAGTGGGGCCACCTGTCCCTGCACTCACCATCCTCGGGCGCGTGCTTGTATTCCTTGTCTTCCATCACCTCGTAGTCAAAGCTGAGGAGGTCGATGGGGATCGTGTACTTCCTGGCGTAGTTCTGCTGGGCGCCCGTCAGGAAGGCTTGTGTGAAGAAGAAGCCGGAGAGCCAGAAGACTGGCGGGGGTCCCACCTCATACCACTGCTGCAGTGGAAGACACAGAGGAGAGGCACAGTGCTCCGCACTTTGGACACAGTGCTGCTTAGGAAAAGCTGTCGGATCCACACTGTCTTTTAGGTAAACTACTAAGTGACATCTGGGGAATTACCAGCCATTGTCTCAGGGTTTTGAAAATAAGTGGCGTCTTCATTGTTTGTTCTGACTCCTATTTCATACCCATCACATCAGCGCGGGCATTACAGTGCGCATGGGTGCAGACACCAGTGTCTGTTTTGAACATAACCAGTGGGTCCTTCAGAAAGGCTCCACACAACACTGAACATCTAACACATCTATTGCATGAGATATCATGTAACATATTTAAACAGAGGAGGTTCCCATAAAGTCTGGTCCAATGAGAAGTTTTTTCCCTTTTTTTCCTCTGATTAGTCATTAGTACCCCCATAGAATATTGCTTTGGAGGTTGCTTCCTACTTCACTGAAATACAATGAAATCCAACATACAGAAACACAATATTGTACACTGAACTCTCAGAAGAAGGGTGATGAGAGCCTAAGGCCTTTAGAAATATCAAGATATGCCGGGCTCGGTGGCTCAGCCTGTAATCCCGCGCCTTTGGGAGGCTGAGATGAGTGGATTGCCTGAGCCCGAGGGTTCGAGACCCGCCTGGGCAGCAAGACTTCATCTCTACAATAAAATCAAAATTAGCCGGGCGTGGTAGTGCGCGCCTGTAGTTCTGGCTACTTGGAAGGCTGAGGCGGAAGGATCGCCGGAGCCCAGCAGGTCGAGGCTGCAGTGGCCGGGAGTGGCCACTGCACTCCAGTCTGGGTGACAGAGTGAGACTCCAACTCAAAAAAAAAAAAAAAAAAGAAATACCAAGATACCTTAATTCTCTGTTTATATTATGGACTCTCATAGTGAGCTAGTTGAGGACAGGTTTCAACTAAATAGTAAATTATAGAAGCCTAGTCTGAAGAAATAAATTTGAAAGCTATTCCTTATATGAGCCCAAGGTACAGCTCATCTTTCAAGAGCAATCTTAATTCTTAATCATTGGCTCTAGTACAACAAGAGGCCTGTATCATGGAAAGAGAGTTTACTCATTCTATCCCTGCAGAAATATCCTCGTAGGCAGTTTTGGACACATATGTTTATTATGTAAGAATTAATCGATACTTCTATTGGATATAATTGTTAATAAGCACATAGTCAAGCATCAGTATTACCAGATAATTAGGAGCTAGGCTTCTGCTCACTCAACACTTCTAAGACAATTAGCCATTGAGGTCATTACTGACAGGCTGAACCAGCAAGCTAGTGATTTCATGACCTGGAAAAGCACAGGGTAATGAAGAAATAACACTCCCTGCCGGAGGCATGTCTGGATTTCTAAGATGTTCTTCCATAGGGCTCTATTTTCAAGCTAAACATTTAGTGGAGAAATTAACATAGCTAGATGTTTTCATTGACTTGAATGTCTGACTTCTCCAAACATGAACACCTACTTTGAAGGTGTTTCTATTTTCAATACTTCTATTTTGATAGTCCCGTGTAACAGTTACATACATTAAATGAAATATTAAGTAGTGACCATTTGTGCCTGGGAGGCACAGAAAAACGAGAGAGTAATACTTACCACACAAGGTATTCTTGACGAAGAAAATGAAACCAGAAGAAACTTAGTAATATATGATCATTTGGATGGGCTCACCTGCAAGAATTTCAGTCTTGTAAGGAAGTCATTCACATAACTGCCCAGTGGTTTAAGGCTTGGGTAGGATTTACCCATCCACATTCCTGGAATTTTGCCATTCAAAATGCTACTAACCACTTCTTCAAGATCTGTAGACATCACGACAAGCCCCTAAAACACATTTAGCTTTGGTCAGTATGATAGCATAGGTTAAGAGCAGCCCCCTTTTAAATACCCTCTTCGAAATTATCCTTAGTTTGCAATTGTAACTATTTAAGGTTGAGTCACACAGCAAAAAAAGAAAGCAAAGATAATTATTTTTGCTCACAAGGTATGAAGTCTTTGAACTATTTTTAGAAAAATATTAACAATTTTAATCTAACCAAATTTTAACAAAAAATCTTAATCCTTGAACTACTCACTATTAAATCACAACATAACTTTGACTTAGTTTATATGTCCATTAAATGGACAAGTAACATATCCCCATCCTGCCTTCTTAAAAGGATAGCGATGAATAGAAAATTAGAAAAATTATACGAAATGTTGTGAAAAGTTAAAATATCCTAGCAGTGAATTGTGAAGTCTGTTTGCCTCTTTCCCACTGAATCAGACTTTTGAGGCCCCCCTGGAAATTCCCGCCCAACTGGGCCAGTTGCTACTGTCATTTCTGTTTTTTCAACTAAGTATTGCTCCACTAATCTAAGGAGATTTTAGAGTACATTTGACGGACTAAACACATATTTCACTTGCCTCCTTTTAAAGTCCCACTAATTTTTTTTATTTTTTAAAGGCATAAGCCCACAAGTGCAGAAAAAAATAGGGGAAGGGACATTAAAGAGTAATTCTGGAAGCTAGAAAGCGTATGGAATTCTGACGATTGCTTTAGTAGTCAGGAGAAACCTGACTCTGAATTGGCAGAGGGCAGAGCTAAAAATCAACCAGATATATATTGCAGTACACCCCCAAATCTTGGGAAGTAACACCTCGAAGACACTTCTGGAAGTGCGAAGAGGAAGGCAGTATTAAATGAAAACAGACTGTGGAGGCCAGCCTGCTTGGGTCCCTTCGTACTGTGGGAGCTTTTCTGGCCTCTCAATAAATCCTGCTTTCTAAAGAAAGCCTGTGGAAAACCAGCTTAAAAAACAAATTCCTAGGTCTTCTCTTCCCAGACTGCACATTGCCTACCTTGAATGTAACCTGGAAAGGAAATGCAGAGATTCCCCAATGTGGGAAATGCCAGGCCCAGGTGGGGTCAGAGTTGCTGCTCTGAAATCAGGGGGATTAAGTAAAGGCGTAGATATCAGATGCTGAGACCCCTGGGGGCTCTTTTCCTTTAAGCTCCCAGGCTGCTGGAAGTCAGCCCTTACTCTACCTGATAGGAGACAGGACGGAACCAGATCTGGAGACACATAATGATGCTGACTGTTTCTTAACCAGAAAGCCCAGCCAGATTACACTGCAATGGAGACCACTGTAGTAAGCAATCTCCAGTGTTTTCACAGTGTCTCCTCAATGTGATGATGTCCCATTCTTTTATTTTAAAAAGTTTATTATTTTTACTTTATATTTTGAGTTGAGGTCTTGTTCTGTCACCCAGATTGGAATGCAGTGGAATAACCATGGCTCACCACAACCTCAAACTTCTGCACTAAAGGAATCTACCCTCCTCAGTCTTCCTAGTAGCTGGGACTACAGGCATACACCACCATGCTCAGCTAACTTTTTAATTTTAAAAATTTTTTTGTAGAGATGAGGTCTCATTATATTTCCCAGACTGGTCTTGAATTCCTGGGCTTGAGCAACTCTCCCACCTCGGTTTCCCAAAGTGCTTGTATTACAGGAGTGAGCCACCATGCCTGGCCCCCATTCTTAAATATAGAACAGACAAGCAAAAATGACCAGGCACCAGAGGAAGCCTTCTAACATAAAAATTCTTCAGTTATGCATTCAACTTTTAAACACAAAAAGACTATTTAGATTTTTTATTTATTCTGTGGTCAATTTTATAATTTTTTTTTTTTTTTTTTGAGTTGGAGTCTCACTCTGTCACCCAGACTGGAGTGCAGTGGCCGCTCCCGGCCACCGCAGCCTCGACCTGCTGGGCTCCGGCGATCCTTCCGCCTCAGCCTTCCAAGTAGCTGGAACTACAGGCGCGTGCTACCACTCTCAGCTAATTTTTTTATTTTTATTGTAGAGATGAGGTCTTGCCAAGTTGCCCAGGCGGGTCTTGAACCTGTGGGCTCAGGCAATTCACTCACCTCGGCTTCCCAAAGCGCGGGATTACAGGCTGAGCCACCGAGCCCGGCCTAATGTATGTTTTCCTAAGCATTTGTCCATTTCATTCATATTTTTAAATTTATTGGCATGAAATTTTCATAATATCACCTTATCTCTTAGACTATAGTATCTATTGTTATGTTAATTTTTGGTTACTTCTCTTTTTTCCTTGTTCACTTCCATTAAGTCTCTTAAAATAATGACTATTTGGCTTTGTTGAGTATCACCATTACATGTTTGTTTTCTATCTCATTAATTTCTGTTTTTTATTTTATTAGGCTTTTTGCTTTTCTAACATATATATTTGAAGCTGCATTCACTCAGTTTTGATATGTTGTTTGTTCGTTATGATTTAATGTAAAGTATTATTTAATTTTCATTTAAGCTTTTTCTTTAAACCATGGGTTATTAAGAAGTATTTCACTGAATTTCCAAATAAGAGGTGGACCCCCCAAAGAACTGGAACTGTTTTGGAGGCTGGGCCCTTTGTAGAAGAGGCCTCCCTGCCAGGTAAGTGTACATCTAGAAACCCATTGGCATCAGTGAGCCAGCTAGTGTTGTTGTGACAGGCTGTGTTCAACTTCAGGGAATGTGTTTTTTGAGAATCTTGCCCTGCATTTGCTCTTTCATAATGTGTGATTTACAAGTGCAGCTGCTCACAATGTACTGAGTTTTAAGCAGTTTTTGACTAAAAACATGATGCCCATGCCCCATCCTCCTTATTCACCCAGTCTCACCGGAGCAACTTTTTTTTTGTTTCCCCCAGTGAAAAGAGTCCTCAAAGGGAAGCGTTCTGCCGAGGTGGAAAAAGTAAAATAAAAAATGGCAGAAGCACTAAGAGGCAGCACATTTGGCGAGTTCAAAAACTGTTCTGAGTGGTGGAAAAAAATGTCTCAATAGGTGTTTTGCATCAAATGGAGAGTACTTTGAAGGTGACTGAAGTTTAAACATATAAGGATACACAATTTTTTACAAATGAATTCCAGGTTTTTTGGGGTTTCCTCTTGTACATGGTAATTTTGAATCGTCTTTTTGTTATTCATTTCTGGCTTAATTCCACTGTCATCAGAGAATATACCTGATGAGCTCAAATCTTTTAATTTATTGAGACTTGTTTTATGGTTTTTCATATGGTCAATATTTGCAACGTTACATATGAATTTGAAAAAAAAATGATACTCTTTTTGGTATCAGCTAGGTCCACTTGTAAATGGAGCTGTTCAACACTTCTATTCCTTTACTGTTTCTCTCCCCCCCCCCCCACAACTTTCCTCTTCCTTTTCCTCCTTCTCATTTTTATTTTTGGTTTTAGTTTTTTAAATTTATTTCTCCAAGTCATAAACTTACAGGATATCCTTTTTCTTTTCTCTTAAACTACATGATTCATTTATTTTCTATTTTAATTAAACAAATTAAGATTTAATTAAATTTTAAAAAATCAAACTTTAATTAAAGTTAATACTAAAAATTTTCCTGGGTATAATTTTAGCTGTATCCCATAGAGTATAATAGGCAATTTTGTTTATTGTCTTACTTTGCTAAAACTGCAAAGTAGATTTTTCATTTTAAAAGTAACACAGGAGCAACCCCCTCGATTCCCTTCTGCTCTAGGAGCTTTTCTGTCCTCTCAATAAATCCTGTTTTTTTTTTTTTTTTTTGAGTTGGAGTCTCACTCTGTTGCCCAGACTGGAGTGCAGTGGCCGCTCCCGGCCACCGCAGCCTCCACCTGCTGGGCTCCGGCAATCCTTCTGCCTCAGCCTTCCAAGTAGCCAGAATTATAGGCATGCGCTACCATGCCCAGCTGATTTTTTTATTTTATTGGAGAGATGAGGTCTCACCAAGTTGCCCAGGCAGGTCTCGAACCCGCGAGCTCAGGCCGTCCACTCACCTCAGCCTCCCAAAGCGCAGGATTACAGGCTGAGCCACCAAGCCCGGCTAAATCCTGCTTTAAATAAAACCAAAAAGGTTGGATTGCCTGAGCCCATGAGTTCAAGACCAATCCAGGCAACTTGGCAAGACTTTGTCTCTACAATAACTAGAAAATTAGCAGGGAGTGGGAGCATGCGTCTGTAGTTCCGGCTACTTAGAAGGCTGAGGCAGAAGGATCGCTGGAGCCCAGTGGGTTGACGCTTGGGGGCCATGAGTGTGCCACTCTACTCCAACCTGGGCGACAGAGTGAGACTCCAATTCAAAAAAACAAAAACAAACAAACAAAAAAAACCCCAAAGGTAACACAGAATATTTTATAAAATTACAAGTCAGTATTCTTAAAAATTGTCAATGTTATAAAAGATAAAGAAAGCCTGAAAAACTGGCTGGCATCAAACAGACAAAGTAAAGAGACATGGTGACTGAATGCAGCATTTGATTTTGGCCTAGAACTTGTTCAAGAAAAGATATTGCTACAAAAGATGTAATTGGAACAATTGGCAAACTGGAATATTGACTGCTGATTAAACCATTATATTTAGGTTTTTATTCTTGAATGTGATAACTGTGAAATTGTAAACTAACATTCTTGTTTTTATGATGTACACCTTGAAGTATTAAGGAGTAAAAGGGTATATTATAAGCAAATACTATGGTCAAATAATTCAGGAAAAAAATTTAAATATATATATATATATATATAGAGAGAGAGAGAGAGAGAGAGAGAGAGAGAGAGAGAGAGAGAACAAATTAGAAAGTAAATCCAGGAAGGTATAACATTACTGAACATACGCATAATTTTTAAAACTCACAGAGTGGGTCATAAAATACACAAAATTATACACCTTTTTTCCCCATTTATCAATATTTGGCATCTTTTCACAACAGCAACTATAAATTGATCTTATTCTTTTTATTGAAGGGCATTCTGTTGTGTATATCATCATGACTACTGAATAATAAATGTTTAGATTAATTTTAATCATTTGCTATTAAAATAATGCTTATAATTTTGCATATATGTACATGCACACTATATATTTAGGATAATGGAGATTTCACTTTTTCACTGATATTGTCAAATTATATTGCAAAGAATCTGCATTAATTTACATTTCTAGCCGAGCTCAGTGGCTCAGCCTGTAATCCAAGCACTTTGGGAGGCTGAGAGAATGGATTGCCTGAGTCTGCTGGTTCAAGACCAGCCTGGGCAACTTGGCGAGCCCTCAGCTCTACAATAAATAAAAAATTAGTCGGGCCTGGTAGCATGTGCCTGTAGTTCTGACTACTTGGAAGGCTAAGGCGGGAGGATCGCAGGAGCCCAGCAGGTCAACGCTGGGGTGTCCGTGAGTGTGCCACTGCACTCCAGGCTGCTTGACGGACTGAGACTCCGACTCAAAAAAAAAAATGTATATTTCCAATAACACAGATGAAAATTCCTTATGACTGACCTTCTTACCAACAATGTATTAAATACTTAAGTATATATAGAATCCTGGGTAAAGTAAAATTGAATCCTGTTATAATTACACGTTTTTGACACTTTTACAATATTGCATTTTTGGTAATTCAAGACTTCATCTACATTGTCTTTCACATTTCTTAGTAGAGCTTTGATTTTAAGAAATCACTATGTTCCTTTGCTAAATTTATTGTCATAATTTGCCATATATAACTGCAAGAAATAGATTTTGTCCTATATATTTTGCAAATGGTTAATATTTGTATGTTGAATATTGTCATTTTTAATGATCATAATTAAAAAAAATACACCTGGTTTTAGTATTATAATTGAGAATGTGACATAGAATTTTCCAGGTTAGATTAGTTGTGTCATTTTGCTGAGATATTAAGAAAAGACATGAGTTTAACATATGGATTTCGATTATGACATTGGTCACAAATATTACCTCAAGTTAGATTTTTCAAATTCAAAACATTGGCTTCCCCAAATTGGGAAGATATGAAGAGAATGATGAAAGAACATCACAAAAAAGAAAATCGTAAGTTGTTCACATGGGTTGGGTGGTTTGGTGAAAGAAACTGATACTTCAAGCAACTATAATCATCAGACTACCCAAATATTTGAGCTAACTTATAAATTTTATTTATGATCACTGTGTTGTGGACTCTGAAGTTTGTCCCCAGCCTTGACCTTCCCTTGACCTCTATAGCACATATCTAGCAATAACAGCTCGACTTCTCCTGGGCACTTCAACATTAATACGTCCAAAGCACAATTCTGGATTTCCTCCCTCGAACCTGGTCCTCTGAGACCTTCACTTGCTGAGGCCAAGTGTGTAGGAGTTATCCTGACTCCTCTCTCCTCACACCCACATGGACTCTAGCCGCCTCGTGGACACTTCTTCCAACAGCCCCTGCCCTCTGCCTCCAGCACTGTCGAGAGTCCCCTCAATGGACTCCTCAGCCACACCTGGCTTGTGTGCCCTCTCGTTCCCCTGCGTCCCTTTCGGTGGGGGGGAGGGCCTCAGGGGGGTTCTCCCCTCATTCTCCACCCCCCTTCATCCTATTTTACTCTTTCCCATGGAATCTATCACTTACCAAGATCCCTCTGTTTATATTTTAACGGCCTGTCTTCCTCACTGGAATGTGGGCTCCTGACAGCTTCGTGCCTTGTTGGCCTGCACTGGACCTGGTGTCCTGATGCTAATAGCACCTTCTGCTCTGATTTACCCATTTGTTAACTGTCACCCTCAGAATTCTATAATCTCCTGAGGGGCAGGGACTATGTCTTTCCTATCCCCAGAACCAAGAGCAGCGCTTACACAGTGCCTGAGCCCGATAAATGCTTGTTAAATGAATGAATGCCGTGCGTGCTTCAGCGACTGTCTGGGTGCATCTCGCCTCACCTTGATTGCTTTTTGAATGTTAATGCACGACTCCCTTATGATCTGCAGCAGCTTATTGAACCGCCCCATCTCTTGGACGAGGACGGTGTTCATGCTCTGTGTGTACGTGGTTGGGTATCTCCTCATCGCAGCCTCCACATCAAAGTTGTTTGGAAGTTTGCCCAAGATGTCCCCAGCAACCTCATTCACTACTTCATCCGATGATTTAGCACCTGCACCTGCTGAACGAGACTGAAGAATTCGAACTGTAACTCAGAGAGCCTCAAAAAGGGCTAACAACAGCCGACAGGAAAGAGCGGAGGTAAGCCTGCTGTATGAAAGTGCACTGCTCTGCTACTCCACCACAAGCTTTCCTGCAGGATTTGCTAAAGTGATGGATCCTGGCCTGGGAGCGGATGAGGAGGAAGGGCCTGGGGTGTGTCCGGCGGGAAGAGGGGGTCTAGAGAAGGCGAGCCAGCCGCACATTGCGTTGCCTGAGCAGGGAGGGGCAGTTGCTGCCGGCGGGGGAGGAAAGCGTCTACGGAGGCAGAGCGAGCACGTGACGTCAGGCGAGCCACCGCGGGAAGGAATGCGGCCCTGCCCTGAGACAGACACCAGGAGGGAGGTCTCCAATATCCTGGTGCCTGCTGGTTGCCAAAAGAGAGACAGTTTTCTCCTTGAAGCAGGGGGAGAAAGAGAACAAGCTTATTATCCCTTCTAAGCAGTGAAAGAGTGAAGAACAGACAGACTTCAGTGAGTCATGCAGGAGCAAGGAGGGAGCGGGCCAGTCCCGTTTCGGTGTTTATATTTAGAGTGACACTGGGTAAATGAATCCATATTTTCTGGAAAAGCTCTTCAGTCCTCAGAACAAATGTGTGTATGTGCATATGAGTGTGTGTGTGTGTGTGTGCATTTAGAATAAGCACTATTAGGATACAGACAAATATATCTCATATATTTCCAGTATAAGGAAATTGTGTTTAGTCTTCTTTTAGATTTTATGTTTCCTGGTTTCTATACCATAAGTATTAAATATAAAATAGTATTTCTATATAAATATACTCCATAAAAATGAACTATTTTAATCTAAATTCCTACTGTGACTTTTAACGCTACCTATCCCATGAAGTTACACAACAAAATAATTAAGTGTTGCTGAGTTTTAATTATGTGCTAGTAAAAAAAGACATGCTCATACAATAATCCTTTAGTATGATTACAAGGTATTGAGTTGAACAGTTAAATATATAAAACAAATCTTAGGGAATAAAAAAGGTAGCTGACAAATATCTGGCCAAAACTAGTGAATTATTTCCATTGCATCTAAAGACTCATGTGTTGATTTCTATTTGCATTTTGATGTGCATACAAAGAACTATAAACTCACTGAAAATATTCCTATTTTCTGCAAACAACAACAACAACACACAAATCCCAGGTCTGTAGTCCTTCAAAAACTGTAAGAAAACTGAATTAGTAATATTAACATTCCCCTTACCTAGTTCTCACATATCTAGACCTCAGAACTGGTTTTTGAAAGTAATCCATTGGATATTTGGATAGAGAATTAAAGGCCATCAGTTGTTATTTATTTGTAATTCCTTAACTTTTTTCTTTTTATCACCTTTCCTTCGTTTTCACAAACACCATTGGGATGCTTCTAAGGGTTATTTTCCTTTTATTAAATAAATAATGATAAGTGGAATTAATTTTCAGGGAGACATCACAGAACTGAACTTTCCCAGAGACCCGAGACCACACCTGGTTTTACAGCATTTTCTTTCTATTCAGAATGATGCATGCTAGTTCAGCACAGGCAAAGGCGCTCTGCAGAAGTAATGTTCCCAACTTCCATTGGCATGCTCTTATTTTTTCTAAGATAAGTTAGTTAAACACACTGTAAAAGTCCTGTCACCGCTTGCGTGCAAGTTCTGCAGTTCTGGCTTCTCCACCTCTGAATTGTGATCAACTCCATCTTGAATCCCTGAGCCATGGCGTATCCATGACTATAACTGTGCTTGCCAATCTGAGTCTGAGGATATTGGAAGTTGTTTAATTACATACTGAAAAGATGCCCCTTGTGTATTTAAACGTATTAGTTTGGTTCTGAGCCATTTTCTATTGGAATACTGTTTTAATGTAATCTGTAATGTGGCATGTCCCATCGAGTTTAAGTAAAGCCAAAAGACACCATAAATGTCCTGTTGTCAGACTGTCGTGTCTGACACACATCCAGTGCTCCTAAAAATCTACTCATTCATGTTTGTACTGATACTTCCATGCTCGGGTAATAACTGATTTCAGTGCTATCAATGTGTGAAATGAACATAAGCATCGTCTTTGTCCTTTTTGCCCTATTAGAAAATGTCATTGTCGAGTAGACCAATGACTCTCCAGTCACTGACAGCACGCTGCATTATCCTCTAATTTTCAGCTTTTTCAGCATCTCTGACCATCTGCCTTCTGGCTCTTGGCCCAGTTTTATAGTCTAGAGAAAGAATGTAGCCTAGTGGTTCAGAACACATGTTCTGGAGTCAAGCAGGTGGCAGCCAGACTTCAGTCCTGACTTAAAACTATCCTAGCTGACTTTGGGCAAATGACTTGATCTTCTTGTGCCTAGTTTTCAAGCTATAAAATGGGAATAATAATAGTCTCTCCCTCATAGGACTGGCACAAGCATTACATTGTAATACACATAGCACTGAGAACAGCACTGCACATAGTAGGCACTACATATGTGTTAACTATTATCATTTTTACCCTGACATCCCATACAAATAAAAAGATCAGTTATAATTCAGTTAGGAGGAAATTTCATTTGATTATTCATAATTTATTAAAATTTCATTCAATCACTATGGGAACATTTGCCCTTTGAACTAATTTACTTCCAAAAAACTAAACAAATACAAAACAAAAAGCAAATAAACAACTAAGCACCTCTTCTAAAGGGAGAACAATACAGAGAAGACCTCTTCATAAACAAGCAAGACTCACATGTTTCCCATTTATTTTTTTATTTATTTTTTGTTTTTGTTTTTTTTGTTTTTTTAGTTGGAGTCTCACTCTGTCGCCCAGACTGGAGTGCAGTGGCTGCTCCTGGCCACCGCAGCCTCACCTGCTGGGCTCTGGCAATCCTTCCACCTCAGCCTTCCGAGTAGCCGGAATTACAGGCGTGCGCTACGATGCCCGGCTGATTTTTTGATTTATTGTAGAGATAAGGTCTCGCTGCCCAGGCGGGTCTCGAACCCGCGGGCTCAGGCAGTCCACTCACCTCAGCCTCCCAAAGGCGCGGGATTACAGTCTGAGCCACCGAGCCCGGCATGTTTCTCATTTAATGTGCTCACCTGGGCCACGGTGTGCTGAATTCAAATGACCTAGAAATTACCCTCCCACATGCAAATCATTGGAGAAGCTCAAGTCCACTGGGAATTGACCGTTTTTCTCCTAAACCCTTTCATTAAGTTTGTACTTACTATGGCAGTTGTATACTTTAAGTGTGATGAAATCTGATCAAATATAAATGGGAAAGGAATTGCTTCCTTGTAAACTAGGTAAAAAGTTCTGGAGTATTTTATACAGATGAATCATTTGGAAAAGTTGCTGCTGAATAAGGGCTCGGGAAATAAAACAAGTCAAGCTGTAGATGTATTCTGTCTGAAAACTGCTTCGCAAGCATCTTGAAAATTCTTCTTACATTTCTTACAAGAAATTTAAAAGGACATAATATGTAAAGCATTTGGGCACGGTTTTTGCAAAAAAGGCAGAATGGAATCCTGACAAGCAGAATGACACTCAAAGAACAGGTCTTGGTTGCACACAGAAGGTTGGTGACCAACGTCCTTATGTTCTGCACCTTGTGTTTAACTCCACAGGTAGGTCTCTGGTGTGTTGTCCCTTCCTGTACACGCTCTGCCCTGGGACACAGCTGTGTAGGAAGCCTCTCTACTGACCCACACAGCAGGGACACCCTCCCGGCCCGGGCAGCGGCACCCACAGCCACACACCTGTGTGAGGAGGATGTTGTCAAACAGCAGCTGCGTCTCTGCCTGGTCCTTGGTGATGTCCGCGTTGGCATTCATCCCAAAGATCTCTGGGGCGGGGGTCAATGGCAGGGTCTTTGTGTACTCCATGTAGCTTTTGTGCTGTGAGGACAAAGCACAAGAAGTCAGGAGGCTGGGGGATGGGCCACCTGAGACCCAATCCCCAGCACTGTGCCCTGCGTCCATTTAGCGAATACGCATGTGTACCCCTTGAGTCTAAAACAAAAGACAAAAAAGTTAGGAGATTAGCAATCAGTCGTGCTGTCGAACGTCTCGCAGACAAGAGGCCAGTTTCAATATGTGAGTTATGGACAGGCCTGAGGCTGGACACCAAATGTTTTCATTTTCTTTCAGCCTGTACCCACGTTTAAAAAAAAATGTGGCCATATTTGGGGAAAACAGACCATTCAATGGGAATGGGTTTTTTAGTGGGGGAGGGGAATCTTGGTAACTTCATTTAGAAATTTTTTCCAGAGAGATCTGTGTCACATTTTGTTAATGACTATTCTTAATTTGTTATAATTTTTTTTCAAATTTACTCTGATTATTCTGTTTACTTTTGCTGTGAAAAATCCTCCCAACTAAGAAAAGTAAAAACTATCTGAGCTGTATCATCTCAAGGTGGCCTTCATGAACACTACATGTCTTTATACGTGTGCATATGCACATTTTGCATTTTATTTATGTGTACTTCTACCAAGATTCCATACCTTCCCTGGTGCTCATGTACTCACTGCAAACTCTGTGTGCACCGACGGCCTGGGGGCAGGCACTGAGGGTTGCACCACTTGGGTTTGGTCCCACACCCCTTACCTCTTCTTGCTTTTCCTCACTTGAAAGCTCATCATCAGAGATCTTCTACCCAACCTCCATGCTAACTCGCTCCACCTTGTCAGGGACCTACACCCAGGGACTGATTTTTCCCTTTATCCGTATCCACATCTGCCTTCAGAGAGCATGGATCCTGGTGGATGATAGGGCTAGGTAGGGCTGGGGTTGCAGTGTGTATCTCTTGCACGTGGCCACGTGTTTAATTTTCAGTATATGCCCTTTGACTTCTGGGAATAACATGAGAACCAATAGATGGTCCCAGCAGTTCCCAGAAATCTATGTGTGGTCATCAGAAGGCATGAACAGGACTGGAGGGGAGCAGAGGAAGCCTTGGCTTTGTGTGGCAGGTGGCTCTGTGCCTCTGCCTCTGTCTGCCCATGTGGCCTTGGGCAGGTGTTCCACCCTCATGAACCTGCTTCTCACTGGCAAAGGGGCGCAGTAATAATCCCAAGGTTAATTTGATGTTCTAGTGAGATAACTACTCTACTGATTTGCAAGTAATGGTAATAGACCCTATTAATTGTTCTACTGACTTATAAATAACTGTAATATAAATTTAAACTATTACTGTTACTATTTTACAAGCCATTTCCCATGTATTTTTGTTTAATTGGAAACAATATCTTTTGACCCAAAGGACTGAATTTATGATGATACAATTTCGGGTTGCTGAGGAAGCTATTTCTGGGTGAGAAACATTTCTGAAACTCCTTACATTAGGTCATGCAGGACACCACCAGCTCTGTCTATGCCTGGGTCTGCTCTGACCCTAGATGACTGAAGAAAGACAGAGAAGGGGTGACAGAAAACAAGAGAAAGTCACTGTTTTAAAAATATATCCGGACTACCAGAGGAAGTACATTTCTTACTGCTTTCAGGTCTTTGAATGGCCCACTTACATCACCAGAAGGAGGTACAAAGTAGATGCCACTCGAGTCGAATTTGTAGTCTGAATTTTGAACCAGGTCTGGGTTGAAGAACTTGTTCAGGATGCTGCGCAGTGTGCGCCGGTCCCAGTCATCGGTCACCCGGCCGCCGTAGTTGCACTCACCCGTCATGTACCGCAGGGCGTCATAAGGTAGGTCCTGGAAGGCAAAGCTTAGGTCGCTCAGTCAGCCAGGTGCCAGGAGCACGTTATACAAAGGCGTGCCCCTGTTTGCCCCTGTTGAAACCACCTACTTAACAGCAGGCCACCGGGTAGCAGCTTAGAAGAGGCCCGAGCCCTGCAAAGCTGCAGCTCTGCTTGGACATGAACAAAGTGTCATTTCCAAGTTTGTTTTCACTTCAGTAGAGGGCAACTGAATATCTTCATACCCTGACCCCTGGGAAGTGGGGAAATTGCCCATGAGGCTGATACACATGTTTTCCCCTAAACAGGGAGCCTGAGGTCATACATCTCCTTGATAACATCCATAAGTTTGATTGGCTGAAGGGCATGAGCAGCTCTAATCTCCAGAGAACCTCCCTCCACTAGACTTTGCACCCTGATGGACCTGTGACATCACCAGGACCTGGGACACATACCAAGAAGCTGGTCACCATTCCTGTGACCCCTTCCTAGAAACCAGCTCCACAAAGACAGTCTCAACGATCCCATGACATGGTCCCCAACAAACTAGCAGTACCTGTTCTCTGGTTTCTGCCTATCACATTATTCCATAAAAGCCAAGCCTAAGACTCTCAGGGAACCAGATCTGGGAACTCTGCCATTGTCCTCACTCAGCTGCTCTGTACTATTACACCCTTTCCCTACTGCAGTAGCTGCATCACTCTTGGTTTCTTGGGGCAGCAAGCATGAGAACCTAGTCAGGCTGTGTCACTATTATGAAATTCAACATCTTATAAGAAGTTTGCATTAACATGACATCCCTTTATATACATCCCTGCTAAGTGCTGCAATTTTTCTCAGGATCTTTCTCTCCTCTTGTGGTTTTTCATTTCTTGTGGTAAGAAATGAGTGAGGGAATAGACTCCTCTACTAACTTGTGAATTCATTTACTAATCAAGCATCACTATTTGAGCCCCTGCTATGTGCTGTCCATGCAAGCTATACCACTGAGTTATGTTCAAAACAGACAGTATCATTCAGCAATCATTGGTGCTAACTTATTTCACCACCTTTTTATATCTACATATATTTAACAATTGGAAGCACATTGTCAATAAAAATTTAATCTTATTTTTTCACCAAATCTTATGAGATTTTTAAATTATTTCATGAAACATTCTTTGAAAATATAACTTTAATAACTATCTTCTAATACTGAACACTTTGGTTGCCTCTAATTTTTTTACTGTGTTGAATTATATTTTATTAAATATAGATTTCTTAAAACTTCTAATGATTCTTTATGTTTCTGAAAAGGGAAATACTATTTTCTTTCCAAGGAAAGGAGCTTGTAACAAGTAGTTTACAAGGCAGGACACAGTGGCTCATGCCTGTGAGTCTAGCACTTTGGGAGGATGAGGTAGGAGGATCGCTTGGGCCCAGCAGTTCAATAATAGCCTGGGCAACACAGTGAGACTTTGTCTCTACAAAAAATAAAAAAAATTAGCAGGGCATGGTGGGACATGCCTGTAGTGTCAGCTACTTGGGAGGCAGTGGTAGAAAGATTGCCTAAGCCCAGAAAATCAAGGCTGCTGTGAGCTATAATCATGACACTGCACTCCAGCATGGGCAACAGAGTAAGCCCCAACTA